AGCTTTGAATTTTTCAAACTTTTAGATATCGAATAACTTCTCTAAACAATGCGAAGCCGCGAAAAATTTTTGTAAAAAAAAGAGCAGGTCTCGAAAGGAAAAAAAAATGTTAAACAACCATGAATTGTTTCTTAAAATACTTTTAGTTATGAAATAAGACGATATCCTAACGTGCACCGTGAATAGTTATCTTTTTTCGATTTAAAGTTTAGCTTTTAGAACTGAATTAAAGCCATTTAAAAATTAGAAATTAGTTTTTCATAGATTGAAGAAATCTTATCACAATAATATCGTGAGGAAAAGAGCGTAAAAAGAGCATTAAGGCGTTCTGAAAATAGTTTTTCATCCACTGAAAAGACGTTATCGTACCTTTGCGCCGTGGGTATTTTTAGTTTTAACGACATTGGGTTCTTTTTAGTAAGCCCGCCTATCAAAAAGCGCCAGTCGGCGTCTTTTTCGGCCTCGATGAGGCACGTTTGACAGCTTTCTTTAACCCTTGCAACCGGCGTTCTCGGATTGCATTTATGAAAAGACCAACGTTCCCTCCTTTTTGCCTCTCGCTGAAAAGACATTTTTCCGTGTGACAAAGGGTTTTGCTATTTTTTGTATTAGGAACAAGTCGACTTGCAATTGAAGTGCCGTCTTGGTTTTCATTTTTGCTCTTTTTTCGACTTTGTTGAGTTGAAAGAAATTTCACTATAAAAAAGTCTCTTATCTTATTTGAGAGCTGCTTTCATATTGCTGGGGTGAGCCCCTATGTTGAAATATAAGTCGGATGAACCTGTAATGAATCCTGTTTAACACAGCGCGTCGAGCTCTGTTTCAACGGCAAAAAAAAGGCCAGCGGCCGAAGGCGCCGTGTTAAATCGGGTTCACAACTGGTTCATCCAACTTCCAGCAAAAAACACAGTGGATTCTCCTTACCAATATTAGCGTGTGTTCATTAAAATAGTTAGTAAAAGTTTTGTCAGAAAACTTATGAATTCTTGAGAAAAACAATTTATTTTATTGATTGCTCTAATTCCAAGTAACACATTCTTTTTTGCGTTACCCAAATCTTTAATGTGAACAAGAAACATTAAAGGACTCAAGAAGCTCCTCTGCGAATTTATTTTCTCTTTGCATGTTGTATTTTCAAAGAAAAAAGATTGTAGTCCAATCAATAACATCATCTGGAGAGAGTTGGAAAGATTCATTCGTTCTGAGAGCCAACCTTGCCTTTTACTTTGTCAATTCTACCTGTATCGAGTTTGTTTGAACAAAAAATTAATCTCATTCGACGCGCTGGAGGGCGAATATTTCGGTTACTTTTCGATTCTGGAAACAACCACGCGACTTCCAAATGTTTCCAGGACGCCAGACGCTGAAAAATCTGCCAAGCGTAACACCGACCAAATGAAAAGTTTAATCCACCCACAATATCTGAAGCAATCTGACGCTTATTTGATAACTTCTCCTAGTTTTACCTCTCTTTGTCTCAATTTTCGTCCAAAACTTGGAAAAAGAAAACCGCCCGGGGGTTCCGCGAAATTTAAAATAGATTAAAAAATAACTCAGTTTTGGAAGGTCAGAAATAATTTTCAATTGCGCAAAAAATGTTTTAATCACTTTGCAAACGGCATTGAAACCGATACTTTGTCTCTATGTACAGTGCTGTCGTGTAAACACATAAAAAAGAGCAAATAGATGATTTCTCTGGTCAATTCATTTGTAAATCGAGCCGTTTCTTACGACTGTTTTAATTTATTTAATTTAGCGAAATAGGAATCAGTTTAGTTATTTGGTGTGAGTCAATTTTTCGCTATATTTTCATAAGGTTCCTGGGAAGTGGAGACCAGAAAAAAAAAACGCTTGCGAACATTTGTAGCGCGTTGTTTTGAGAGCAGATCATATCAGTTTGCTCCTTTTTTCACGGCTTCTTGACAACATTTCATTCGAGTATTGAAGATTAGTGTTCGGCTGTTTGTTATTTTTCAATGTCACATAAACGAGATTAGATTTAGAGATTAGGATTATTGTTGAGAATTTACGAAGCGTTTCGAACAGAAGCGAAGAAACAGAAGTTTTTTGAAATGTAAGTTTACAAAATATTAAAATTAAGTCGATTTTTAATGAGTTTTACTTTCCACAATCGTCGTATTTACAGAATTAGCAAAAATTGGAAACTCACAAATTCGATCGGGGTTTACTAAAGTTCAATAAAAATGATAGCATACATAGTCTGACTTTCTAAAATTCCATTACTCTTTTGTGCTCTCCGATACTATCCCAATGCTATCTTGATTTGCAAGGTATCGATTATTTTGATTGAAAGGTTCTCTTTTCCAACAATGTATAAGTTCTTTTTAAATCATGCGTAATAAGTGCATGCTTAATATATGAAAATTACTGCTGAACTTCTGTAAGAAAAGAAAACAGAAATCTTGATAGATGTTAGTGGCTTTTACACAAAAGAGAATGTTTGAATTAAAAAAAATTTCTGACAGAAGTCAAAGTATCTGATGAGAAAGATGAATCGAAATTGAAAACTTCCATGATTTCTAGTTATGACTTGAAAAGTAAGCTTCAGCCGACATCATACAAAGAAAATGAACAGAAATGACCTTTCTCAAACAAAAAAAAAGGAAAGTTTAGACTCATTCATGGAGTTTCTCGGTCAATTTTAGAAGTTCCGAGAAACCCATCTCAATAAACGAGAGGCGGAAACTGGTGAAATTTCACGCTCCGCGGGTAAATTTGAATATTGAACATTTAGAACTGTTTTAACGCGTCTAGTCTGACATATGATCTTTTTTTCTCTCGTACTTTCATCCCCCCCCCATCCCGCTAAAAGTTCTGTGCTTTCATGATAGATATAAAAAAAGAGCTTAACAAAAGTTTTTTTAGGTGAGATGCCGGTGAAGAGCAAAGGTCCACGAGCTCTTCTCGTGGCGCTCGAGCCGGACTCGGGAGCTTTTCCGCTGCTCATGACCATGCCTTATGAGTGCGAGAAGAAGAACTCCGAAGTGAAAACGTTGGTTTTTTTTTCACTTTTTTATTATCTTCTCAAGAAATCATTTATGAGTTAGGTATTCTGGCGTTAGTTTGAAAAAAGCTACGTTTTGCTCGTCTAGAGCTTAATTCCGAAAACCTGAATTTGAGTCATTAATGGGTCAGTTTTTTATGCCGTCAAACTCTTCTCCCGAATCTTCCAAAATTGAAATCAGTACTGCCTACTGAGGCCTAAAATATTTGTTTTTAAAGTTGTCAGTGTCCCCTGCGTGTGGTTAAAGCTCATTTTTCTTGTTCTATTTCTTAATTTTCGGGACGGTAATCCCTACTGGGCTGATTGCGTTCTGTACTTGACCGAATGAGGTTTGAGCCGAACTGATTTTTTTTCAAATAACTTTGAACTTGCTTCTTTTCAAATTGTTCTCTACCTTTCAACTTTGCACAATGCCCAACGACCCTTGTCGAATCACCTCCAGAGAATGGTTTCCAATTGAAGAAAATAGTATTGGGCAAGAAGAAACATGCAAATTGTGGAAGGGTGAGAAAGCAGTGAAAAGTTTGGCCTCAGGCCGTTTGTGTTACACCGCGCGTCTCGTCGCCGTCTGCCACTTTTGGAATACTCGGTCTCCGCATAGGTGGCTCCACCCCTCCTTCCTCTCTGTCTATCGACTATCAGGCCTCAAATCACCATCGACGTCTTCTGATTTTTTTTTTCGGCCATTTCTTCCAGCATTTCTAACTACGTCGATCATCTGTAGTCGGAGGTTCTGATGCGCGAAAAAAAGCATGAAGATGTTTCTCAAGACGCCTCAGTGGATGATCATCCATCTGAAAGGTTGATTGGTTTCTCCCTTTTTCTTTTCATTTCCGTTATATTCAATCGGTGAATTGTTGTTCGAAAACTTCAGAAGTGGAGAAACAACCATAGGTTTCGATACATCCAGATTGCTCCCTCTTCAAAGGGAGCTTAGGCTAAAGTATGGGAGTGACTCTGCTCCTTGAGACTAGATAGTTTTCTGCAATTCTTCCTTCTGAATACCACATAAACCAACTTTGGAGTTTGAAAACGCACTTTTACCTGGCTGGAATGGTCTTTTATTACAAATAATGTCCTATGCATACGTTGATGACAACTTATGACGCAACACTTTACACGAAATCCAATTATTTCAACGCTGAGTATCTGGTCAGAATTTGGAGAACACTATCAAAAACGACAGTGGGATGTGATTTCAAATTTGATTCATGTTTTTTTTTTTGCGAACGCACCCTTGCTGTCACCCGGACGTACATGACAAATTGCAGCGGACATAATTGTAACTGATTAAATGACGGCCGGAAACGACAATTTCAGTCTTCCAACTTTCCTCGCAGTTCTCATTTTGTGGGAGATGATATTCCAAAGTCCAATTGCCTGGAATTACTGGTTTCGAAGAAATTTGGAGGCATTCGATTATAGATTGCTGAATTGATTTTGGAGGCTTCAGATACATTTCAGTTTAGGATGATCATCATTTTGAGATTAGGAGTTTCAGAAGTATAGACGTAGCCGAAATTTATTAATTCTGTAGAAAGCCTCTTCAAAACTGGTTCAGTGTTCAATGAATTACGTCGAATCGAGAGATAGTTATAATTGAAAAGCTGGTATGAGAAAAAATGTAGACAACAAAGGCTGATTTTTGGACATTTTCTTCATCAAGATGAATTTTTTTCGATTGGAAGCTTCATTTTGATCTGAGAGAAAGTTCAATATTTTGTTTTTGAGCTTCGGTGGATTTCGATTTCGTGCAGCGAGTTCGAAAGAGCATCTTCTTGATATGTAATACTAATTTTAGTGCTAATAGTCGATTCCATCTGACTAAAACAACCAATAAATATTGATGATGATGATGATATGTGTTTATTTCAGTCTCCAACGTGGTAGGAAGTTCTAGGGGCATGTAAATTAATGGCTCGGGAATGATTTTTCAACTCAACGTTTTAGTGTAAAAATTTTTGGACCTCCGACTCCGAGAAAATTTTTAATATGGCTGACATTCGTAAGTTTTCAGAGATCATGATTCCGCCGAAGCCTTTACAAAATCGAGTCGCTTTGAAAGCATTTCTCACTTATAAACTCAAAATTTTTCTAAAAAATAAGTAGTTAGCTCATTGAAGGGTCATGTATTTCTTTTATCAGTTCAAGAACCGTTACGCATATCAGAAGTATGTAAAGTTTTCTCAATAATTTTGTCTTCTTGTCTGAATGGTGAAAAATAAGTGAAGTGGCTTTTTATACGAATTTTGAACGGTAGCAAATCATAGTTTCTATTGAAATGTTAAAAAGGAGCAAAAAATGACTTTTGTCGTAAAAAAAAACTTTGTTTTTAGGAAGTAGACCTGAAGAAAATTTGAGCTTTGGGCCGGCTATTTTTGCTTGAGGCTTCCCTAAGGCCGGGGCGTGCCTAGAAAATGGTCGGGGGTAGATAGACTGACCTTCGAACAAGCCTGGCTATAACAGATTAGATTTAAGATTGTTCAAGCTTTTGATAAAACTTTTTTTTATAGAAAAGATACCGAATAATTGTGTTTTTCTGTACACGAATCGCTTTAAAAAGACCTATGAAAGGTGTTTGATGCTCTTCGAGGAACATGACGAGAGGAGTGAGAGGTGAGCCGACCATGTTTGGACTGCAATTTCATGCGGCGAAGGAAAACAAGATCGAAGTGAGGAAAAACGGCCTCCCTCTCTGCATCTCTGCCTACGGTTAGACGGTCAGCAGACTGTTACATGCATGACGCATCGGATGCGACTGGTCTTTTAGCCTTAGTAGATCCAACTCCTCAGCCAGAAGCTGTATCCTCCAGTGTCCCTGGTCTGTGGACCAGCGCTTTGCTCGGCCATGGTTCGATGGTAGGTCTAATAATTCTTGATAACTTGGGAATCATCTTCAAGATCCTTTCAAATGGTTTCGCTTTTTTAAAATTTTGCTCATCCACGGAAGAGCGGTGCGGGACTAATAAACTGTTTCTTTCACCTTTCACTGAATCGAATCATTGTATTTTTCTTTTCTCGTTCAAAGCTAATTCGATGCGAGTGGCGAATCAGATACAGGGGTTCTCTCTAGGGATTTTTAGTATTCTTAAGTGACTTCTTCGTCTAACTTCCTGTTATTCCATATTTTGTGGGGACCATCCCGGGGCTATCTTGATTGGCGAGGGCTGAGAAAGCTCTAGAAAAAAGTTGTAGGATAGCCTACCGATTGCTATCTCACGGCGTATCCTATTTACTGACTGACTGTGTGGATTGACCTTTGAAAGTGAATTTTCCTGATATCTGACTCATTTAATGAGGAATTTTTCTCTTTTTCTCACTGTTTCGATCTATTTTGTGAATTCCTATTTTTTTGGTTATGACCATTTCAATTACGCATCATTTTTCTTTCACTCGGGCTCTTTTTCTTACTTCCCATTCTTCATTCTCGGTTTTACTCTTTCAAAACATTATTCAACTTGATGATTCTTGTTTCAAAAATGCTTCCCCTGGCATTTTTCCCATTTCCTATGTAATTGGTCGAATTATTATTTGATCCATGAACAATATTTCAATATCAAAGGCACAAAGGTCCCAAGCCTGTGTTGACTCCTATATTTTCAAGCTTCTTCAAAAAATTTTGCTGGATTTTTTAAAGCCATTCAAGTCGTGCATGTGGCTCTTCGCTTCGATATCTTTTCAGATTTTTCTTTGCTTGTTAAAACTCCAGCAAGTGTTTTTGAATGAGTCGCATATTGTTAGGACTCAACATTTGATCGTCACTCACCTCTTCCACTGGCGCAACGCGCGGCGGGGAAAAATTTTGACCGACGTGAAGTCATGTCTATGGCGCTAACGTCTTAGCCTGCAATGAATCGATTGATCCAACTTCGACGTTCCTATTCTTATCGATACTCCAGGTTTTCCTTCCTCTTTCCTCTACGCTCCAAAACCTGCCTATAGTTCGTTCACAACAGCTTTCTGCGTAGTGAGTATTGAAAAGAGAAAATAAAAACTTTGTGTCCGTAATTTTTATCAGTCTTTAATCTTATACCCAAAAAGATGATTTGAATGAACTATCCTTCTTTCATATTTTGAATGTGAAAAAAAAAACATAGAGGACGGCTTGAATCGATAATTCATAGTGTGTCAGCGGGACGGAACTGGTTTTTCTTGTCTATTTTTTCTCCCCTTTTTTCAAACTTTTCATTAAACGATTTGTAGTCCAATCAAAAGAAATTTTTGCTTCTTTTTCAAGCAGGGTGGAGCTTAAATTCTAAGTCTTTTTGAAAGTCCTTGGTGGTTTTTAAAAGTTTCTTATGACCAAGCAAATTTCTCTAAAAAACGGAAAACAACTCCTAGCTTCATGCCCTTTTTGAGAATGGTCTTTGAAAAGGCTAATAATACCGTTTTTCTTAGGAAGCTAATCTAAAAAAAATCTTTTTTTATTTTTATCATGATTTTTTTCTGCTTTCCATTATTTTTCTAGAACAAACGTTATTTCGATATTTCTTGAAATTGTTTTTTTCTCTTTTTGTTTCTGCGAATCCACAAACTTCTAAAGGCAGTGAACGTTCGAGACAATAATGTTTCTCCGCTGCCTTTGCGCGAAGTTAAAGCTTCTCTCAAGAAAAAATAAATAAAACTTTTTGGCAAGTTCAAATACACATTCGGAATGCTGAAAAACGGCTCTACCCATTATTATATCAAAAATTATGTATCACTGGGCCAAATAATTCTAAAAAACCCTTTTTCGATGTGTGAATTTTAAATACAGTAAAATTTCGCAGCAAATTATAAATAGATTGAGTTTGTTCATTACAAAAAACTTAACATAGGGAAACGAAGAATTTTCAGGGTTCAAGAGTCGGGTGCAGATCAGATAGAGTTGCTGCGAAACGAGGATAACGAGGATGGAAGTGACTCAGAATCGGTCCGAGATGACGACTACGACTACTATGAAGAAGAAAAGCCCGCTAGGAAGGAAACAACCAAGGAATTCATTCAAAGTAACTTCTTGAAACTCCGAAACCATTCAATTTTTTTCTAATTTGAGGACAATACCGGAACTTGGTGCATTTCTTCGTGGAAGACTGGTTCATCTCCGCTATGCTTGGAATTATCACAGCTATTCTCTCAATAATCATCGATTTGGGCATCGAATACCTCACTCATTGTATAGTTTTTATTTTCCCTTTTTCTCTGCTTAAAACCTAGTCTTTGGGTTTTTTTTAATTTAGAAACTATAAAAAGGCGTAATTTTGCTCAACTCTTAGTAGAAATTTTAGGAGGAAAAGCTCCAAGAAAGCTCCTCCGCTAAACAACTACTTGAAAAATGTAGTGTGTCATAAAATCCCATGCAAAATAATGGTCCCCGCGAACAAGCAAACTACAGCAATACCTCGGCTTCACTCTAGAATAAATCTAATCTTTCGAATATTCCAAAAATACTTTTCATTAGTAGTTCATTCAAACTATTCCCCGAAGCTAGAGCCTTTTTTATTTGCCACGAGTTTCAATGTTTTCAGACAGGATTGAACTTTTCCATTGGGCCAAACACCAAAGTATATATAGCGGCTTCGTGATGTGGCTCTCGTACATCACGGGTCTGGTGTGGCTCGCGGCTGTTGTCTGCTACGTCTTCGGCAAACAGGCCGTCGGTTCGTCTTTTGTCAGCATGTTTTTGTACTTGCAAAGGATAATCGGAAGAAAATAACAGCTTTAATGAAGTCTTCCATCTCTGATACGAATTGTCATGAAATCGACCAATAGTTGAAACCCTATGACCCTGCAAGTGAAATTTGTAATTTTTATAGCGTCTTTTTTTCAGGATCTGGTATTCCGGAAGTAAAAGTTATCATTCACGGGTTCACGATGAAAAATTATCTGTCATTGAAAACACTGATCGCCAAGATGGTCGGCCTGACTTTCACAATAGGATCGGGCCTGCCGGTCGGCAAAGAAGTAAGTCGGTTCTTTGACAAGACTGAGTCAATAAAAAGTACTGTTTTGATTTTTTTAGGCCTGCAAATTGTCTGTTTGCACTTTCTGAGTGGCTTTTTATATCAGGGTTATATTTCGCGGTTTTTAAGAAATTTCCTTTTTAAACAAATTTCGTTCCTGTCGGAGTACTTTTAAATTTCTCGATTTCTTCCAAATTGGACACTTTAGGGACCTTTTGTGCACATTGGCGCGATCGTCGCCTCCCTTCTAAACAAAGCGACATCAGCTTGTCAGTACAATGCGTTTTTTTCCAACGAAGGCAGGACTATGGAAATGCTTAGCATCGGTTGTGCCGTTGGTATTGCTTGCACCTTCTCGGCTCCAATGGGAGGTTTGTCCATCGTACCTTTTGTGAAAATGCTGCTTTTTATATGAGAAACTTGAATGTTAGATGTTAAATTCGAGTAGTTGAGCCCAAGGATTAAATAAAAAATTTTCGAATTCGGCCGCGTGAATCTGTATTCTCTAGGAAAAAAAGACTTTCGAAATATTAATAAGTTTTTTTAAGTGGAATTTTTCCCACAAGGGAAAAAGATTGAAGTTTTGTAATTTTTTTAAAAACCATGTTTCAAAAATATTTGAAGGTTCAGGCGAAAATCTGTAATCACGATTTGCGCACGAGTTTAGGTCTGGAGATTAAAAATGTCGAATATTCACAGTCGTCGCGAAAGTTTTCACATTCGATCATCCAGAAACTTTTGAATTTCAAATTTTCAAAACTGGACTTTTTCCAAAGATAAAGACGCTCCGTGAGCTTCTTAAACAGTGTCTCAGAAATTTTTTGAGCAAAATTAGAAAATTTTCTGTTTAGCGAACGTTTTTTATTTTTTTTTAATTTCTCGAAAAACATCTGCTTTTCGAGTTAAGCCGCTTCAAAACCTTGTAATAGCGTTTTTTGTCATATTTTGCGTATTTTGCAAAATTTGAAACTTCATAAATAAAGATCTATTGCGATAAATTATTTTGTTCTGGAGTCAGGAAGAGTTAAAGTACACTTTGGAGAAGTTACAATAAAAGTACAACCGAGGGCAAAAAACGTTTCCTAGTAATCTCGCTTTTAATAAACCTTAACGAACATCAAACCTTCCAGCCGTACTCTACGGTATCGAGTCGACATCCAAATACTTTGCTGTGAAGAACTACTGGCGATCCTTTTTCGCTACCACCTGCTCGGCGATGATCTTCCGATTTGCTATCGCCTTCATTGTTCCACAGCATTTTGCCGGAACCATCACTGCCTATTATCAGACTAATTTCCCCAACGAGGTGTTCGTTGTCGAAGAGCTGCCATTCTTCATTTTGCTTGGGTTTTTTTTTTCATCCACAATACCCTTGATTTCATCCTTGTTACTTTAGAACGGCGACAGGACTGCTTGGCGCCCTCTTCATCTGGTACCATCGTCGGATCTCTCTCTTCAAGAAGCGCAACCGTGTCTTCAAGGCTATGTTCGGCAAGAGGTAGTTTTCTTTCCCATTTTTAAACATTTCTTCATGATTTCTAGAAGAGCAGTGAGAAGTTTCATTTGCCATCTTCGATTAAATGTAAACTTGCGAAGCCAGATAGCAAAGTGAAATTCACGCGTTTTTGTTTGAACTCACTCGTTTTTGAAAGGTTTTTTAAAGCTAGAGTTCGGTAAATCTGAGAATAACTATGAAAGCTCGCATTTTCTCGAAAGATTTTCGTTACGCCTAACACTCAAAATGGTTGAAGTGCGTGGAAGAAGGCGTGGTCTATGTTGTGTAATTCTACGCGCTTTATTGAGAAATCGTTTCGTCCATCACAATTCTAATCACACATGCCTTTATAAACCCTAGCAAAGTATTGGAATTTCGTAAAACTAGAGAAAAAGACCGAAAACAACTCAAAATCTAAAAATAGCCGCTAGAACTTATCAGTCTCGATGCGGTATCATTTCCGAAGTGGACGGGAAAGGAATTCTAAAGATAGGTCAAAGGCGGCGTAATAAAATCATAAGATCGTGCCATTTATCAAGGTATTCAATTTTTAGACATCGTTTTTATTGATTTGTAGCGCGTCTTGAACTGCTACAAAAGAATGATTTGGAGTAATGCTTTCTTTCACAATCAAAAAAAAATAGAAAGATTGATAGGCACATTTAAGAGAACTGTTGCAAAAATATAAAGTTATTTCATTGGATGTAGAGAATACTACAAGAAACCAACAAATAACTGTTTTTTGCTGTTTTACAGCCCCCTCGTTTTCACCACACTGATTGCTGCATTGTTCGCGATCCTCAGTTATCCGGATGGCTTGGGGATGTACATTGCAGGAAAGGTTGGGAGAAACTTTATCCAGGAAGAAAAAAAAAGTTCTAGATGACATTCCGTGAAACGTTGGTCGATTTTCTCTCCAATTGCACCTTCTCCTTGTCCAATATTTCCTCGAATGGCTGTCCACAAGAGCTGATCGCCCACTGGACGTCTTCCCATCTCGGCGCCGACTTCCATCCTCTGTACACTCTGACTGCTTACTTTTGCGTCTATGTGAGATGCTTTTTCCTTTGCTTTCCAATAAGCATAGCTGAGAAGAGAATCAAATTGATTCGATGGAACGAGAGAATTTGTATATTTTTATTACTCACGCAAACATGTACAGAGTACAATGTATTTACGTAAAGCGGTAGTACCCTATAATCAAGTGTCCTAAAGAGCGTTTTTACCGGGAGAAGTAAATTAGGCAAAGGTTAGGGATATTTTTGTTTCAGTTTCTCAGACTCATAGTCCTTCCCAGAAAATTCAACTTCTAATGAACTCTTTTCATTACTGATTTTGACATAACCGCCATCGTGTCGAAAATTTCTCTTACAGTTCCTTCTGATCCCGATTTGCATCACTTTGTTCATCCCTACCGGAGTTTTCGTTCCATGCTTCGTTCTCGGAGCCTGCGGAGGCCGGATCGTCGGCGAGATTTTGTCGATGTGGTGGCCTGAGGGCCTACGTGGTCTCGGACATCCGCAAATCTATCCTGGACTTTATGCGGTCGTTGGTTTCTAGGGAGTCGGGAAACTGATGGTTCAGTGACGATTTCAGGCGCTGCCTCATTCACTGGCTCCGTCACCCATTCTCTGTCGATTGCTCTCATCGTCTGCGAAACGACGGGACAGCTGTGTGCTCTGCTCCCTGTTTTGGTGAGATCATTGAAGAAACAAGTAGAAAGTCGCTTGAATCTTTGCTTCTTCATTGGGTACATCGAAAAGTTTTCTTTTGCTCCTGCTCACAAAAATCTAAACCTAAATGAAGATGATTTCTCTTGACAGGAAGTTCCATATCTTGTGACCTTGTTTTGCCTTTTACAGATTGCCCTGATGGTCTCAAACGCCATTTGCGCTTTCATGCAGCCGTCAATCTACGAAAGTATCATCAAAATCAACAACCTGCCTTATCTCGCGGATCTTCCGCCTAGTCGTATGAGGTTTCCAATTCTGGTCTATGTTCAAAAATCGAGTGAGCTGTCAGTGTGCACACGATGAAAGTCGAAAGAATCATGGTGAAGGACCTGGTGTTCATCACGCGAGAAACGACGTATCGCGAACTCCGAGAGATTCTGCTCGAATCGCCTGGCCTCCGATCGTATCCCTTCGTCACGGACAAAAGTCGGCACCTTTCATCGGTCGCCTGTCAACAACAAACATTTCAGAATCTATGACGTTACTCGGAAGCGTCGGAAGGAAGTATCTCGTTTACTTGGTGCAGCGAAAGCTGGGTCCTGAGCCGGAGTTTGTCAGCCATCGCCGAAGGTTTGAAGCTGATCATCAACATATTCAAAGATCAATATCATCATTTGACCTGCAACGTTGTTTTTGCAGCTATAGAAACATGAGAAAACGGGTTTTTTTTTCTGAAATCGCTTTATTTCTGAATTTTTCGATTTTCAAATATTTGAAAACCGCCTGTTATTTTTTCAGTTTAATGGTCAGAAAAGCGAAACGTAAAATAAAATTTGATGGGCTAGCCGACTATGATTAAATAAGAACTGATTTTATGAAAAAGGCTTCAAACGTTTTACGAATAAATGACCGTTTGGGGTTTAAGTTTCAGACAAACCTTGAAGAGTTCAGCCGCGTGAGTGAAAATCGTGTTGTGATCCGAAAACCCCTCTATGTACTTCTCTATCAATCCTTTCACTAGTCTCAGCCCATCTTTTATAGTCAATTTTTTCCAACTCAGAAGACGAGATGAGTAGATTGGCAAGGGTGACTTGTTGTGTGTGAACGCAGCTTTTTGTGTTAACAGCTGGAGGTCAAGTGCAATCACGAAGAAAGAGCAAAACGAATTTTCTTTTACATTTTTTTGATTTTTTTCGTTCGTTCAACTGAACTTTTTTTCACAACCATTAAAAGTTAAAAAAATTATCGATTTTTTTGCTTTTTTTCGATTTTCGCATTATCGCTTTTTTTGTTTTGCGAAGGATTGGCTATATATTGCAATTTATGCAGAGGAAAAATTCGTTGATTGGAGGCTCCCGACTGGAACACATTTTTTGAATCGTCATTAGATTTCCACCCTTCTATTGAAATTAACATACAATTAAGATTTTTTCATTTACTATAATGATTCGCAGTATACTGAAACAGGCGGAAGAAATGAATAAAAATCTCACTTTGAATACAATTTTTTCTATTAATCTTGTTTTTGAAATTTTCCAGGTGTGTTCTATGTATGACTTCCTTTTTTTCCAAAAGCTCTTTTTCATTTTTTTTTTTTTTAAATAAGTTGATTGTAATTTTAAATTACACGAGATCTTCAAAAAGTGGAAAAACAATAACAATTCTATTTTTGCATTCACTAAATCCACAAATTTCGGCTCTTTAATCACCGCGCCCCCTATTGCATTGAGCCAATAAGACACGCTTTTTTGAACAACGTGCAATTCAATTTCGTTTCAGAAGTCGCACAGCTTCGGAGATCTTCAGCACGATCCAAAACTTTGGGTGAGCGCAGACGCAAATTGTTTTTCCAAATCTCTATTGAAGAATCAGCCGCGGTTCGGCTCCTGGATCCCTTCCGCACAACAACAGCTTCCCGACCCAACTGCTCACCGATAGAAACATTTCTGGTAACACGCTCCTGCCGCAATCGCCGCTGCATGACGATCAGGTAGTGGGAAAAGAATCAAGTTTTTAACAAACATAACCTCTAATTTCAGGGAGATCGAAGTCCGCTGGCGCCTCTGCTCTATAGCCAAACAGAACAGTCCGAGCCTATCGTGGTGCGTTTGAATGGAGAAGTTCAAAAAGGAACTTCCTTTATTGCTGTCGCATATGGAAACACTAACTCTATTTGTGAATAGAACGAAAGATAGACAATTTTTGATTCCTGATTCTTTCGGAATATCAGAAAAAAGCCTCAGATTCTACAATTGGCAGCAGAAAAGTTGAATAGAAAGTTCTTAACGCAAAATCACAAAGGGATAATTTGAGGAAAATTCGTTAAAAGAGAGAGAAACTTTTGGAGAACACTGATCCCAAAACAAAAAGATTTTTTTATGCCTTTGCCTCAGAGCCGCCAAAACCACTTTTTTCCCCACTGCGATATAAAAATTTTGAGATTATATCTCAAAGGGAAAAAAAGCGTTGTTTTTTATTGGAAATAATGTGGGCCAGAACACCTCTGTAAAATTTCATCGAACTCATAAATAATATCTTTCGAAAATTTTCTGGAGAGAATAATTTTTGTAGCATTCCTTGGCAAAAAGAGCAGAAATCCTGTCTTCAAAGCTGGACCTCGACGATTTGGCCATTGACCCTGCACCTTTCCAGCTTGTTCGTGGCACTTCTCTCTACAAGGTGAGAGTTTGATCTTTTTCCTTCTCTTTCTCATCAGAAAGGAATCCCTGCAGGTCCACACATTGTTCTCTCTGCTTGCTCTCAACCACGCTTACGTGACTGAAAAAGGAAGACTCGTTGGTGTCGTCGCCGTCAAGGAGGTCTAACCCATTGAATTTTCCCCTTTAGACGTTTTGTTGGGTTCAGCTCCGAGAAGCCTTCTCACACATCTACAGTCGCGGTGCAATCATTCCGACGCAGCGGACGCGAACCTCAACTTTCCGCATCAACAACGAAGACCAACGTGAGCTGCAACTTTTTTTTTTCTGCCTCCATTTGAGATTTCACTCCTGTTTTTGAAATATGGGTTTGCATTTTTACTTGATGGTCATTTCCAGAGTCTGAAGACGTAGACGGCGGACCGAGAATCATAATTCGACCGCGAAATGGAACCAATGAAAGTATGAACCCTCTACCACAGCCGCCACCGACAGACTCGAGCTCGTATTAATAATAGGAATATTCCCATCATTAAGCTCGTACAAATTGCAAATTCTGCGGAGACGCCCAATTAATCGTGCAATAATTGCTCTATTTTTTTTAGCGTTCCTTCTATTTTTGTTCACGATTAAAATAAATTTCACAGAAAACTTGAAAAAGAGCAGTTTAGAAAAATAAATAAATTCTAATTGTCTTTTAATAAACGAAACCTCTAGTCATTCGAATTGTCTTCATTGTTCCGACACATTCCTGTTGTTTCATCCAACCTCCTCAATAAGTCACGGTGATAGTTCCTCTCTCTTCCAATCTCCCAACAAGAAGCTTCATATGTTGTCTATTTGTAAATAACTTTATTGGCTCTCATCTATTGAATCGTTGAATGATTAAAAGTTGGTGAACCTATAAAATCTTCAATTTTAAAGAGGCTTCACGCTCCAAAGATATCTATTAATTCCATGCACTCTAGAAATATCTTCTATTTGAACTTTCTTTTTTCCTTTGTTTTTCCTTCTGTCTATCCATGTTTTCCTTTGATTCGCGTACGAGTGTTAATTTTTTTTTTCTCTTTTGAAGAAATTTATTTTCATGTTTTCAAAATTTTTAACAGAATATATTGAAGCACATGATAGAAACAAACAAACGAAAAATTTAACACGAAATAGGGTGGAATAAAAGCGAACTATATGGACCCAAATGTGACCCGCAGCTGGGGTCATAATATGCACAAGAGATCATTAGGTCAAACTTCTAGTTATGTGTTCACTTTAATTTGTTTTGAATGTTCTGAATGCTATTAACCTGAATCTAACCGTTGCTCAGAAATTGAAATACTCGGGAGAAGAATGGGATAAATGTCGTATTTTGATTGATTTCCTAAGGGTAAAAGTTATTCTGCGGCGAGAAGCTAGCCGCCAATTAAGTGACCACTTACGAATTTCTTGTTAGTTTCAAAAAAACGTATAATTTGGTTGTTTTTTTAGTAATTTAGTGGCGCTTGAGAAGAATGTTTCAACAAAAAATCATAGCTTTGAATATTATGAAAGAAGACAGTTTTTTTAACTGGAACATCATTGAAATTTTGCAAATTTTTGAATTGTTTTTTTCGATGTTAGCCAGAAAAGAAGAGTTCTAGGTTTCGGCGAGTGATTTCTCAAAAAAATATACAATTTAAAAAAACTAAGGTTTTCTAATAGACTGGCCGACCATAGGTAGTCACAGGGGGCGATTCGATCGTGGCGACCTGAGTTTTTGACGAGTCCGCAACGGTGTTGGTGCGACTGAAGTCGTCGCGAGTCCAGTCGCAGGGCTCGCCGCGCACGAAAACAACGAAAAACACATTGCACACAACCTGAAGTTCGGAAACATGATCACGTGACGCGAGAGCGAGCATCAAAAAATTGTCGAAAATTGTCGCGTACCAAAACGCCGGCGGTGATGAAGAAGACCCAGCGCCACTCGGCCTGTGTGTTGTGAGGCGTCAGACTGTTGACGAGGAATGGGAGGATGAGCATGGTGGCTGTGATGCCGAGGGACATGTTTCCCGTGACGAAATGACTGCAATTCTTCGCATCAGCTACAGAAGATGTTTGGATATATAAGGTTCAAAAATAATCTACAATTTGCTCAAAAGAGGATACTAAAAACTTGATTTTCGCAGCCAAAGTTTCTGTCAGCGTTACTTCAGATGGGAGCTACCTCTGCGAATTTAAAAAAACCAGCGAAGCGAAAAATTTTTCAAGCAGGCTTATTTTTTTCTACCAGTAAAAAGGAAATTAAAGAAGACAGTTTATAATGAAAAATCCTGAAAATGATCGCAAAGATGAGTTTAAAAATCAAGTGAAAGTCTAGGCAAATGGTACTATTTATTTTTTATACAAAAATTGAGGAGGCGTCATCTTTTATGGCATTTCGCAAACCAGCTAAATGTTTCGAATTGTGCGTTACCTACCTATACTGCTTGGAGAGCACAGGGCCAGCTTTGAAAAAGCCGCCAGTTGTGGCTCCAAGGGCGCCAGCTGCAGCTCCTAGAACGATCATGTTGAAGGTCGGATGGCTGACGTTGAGGAATCCCAGGAGGACGAGACACAAGGCGGACCCACAGAAGGCCACCGTGTTGAAGAGCCGGAACTTGGTTCGTTCGGAGAGGAACTTTATGCGATCCGAAATGAAGCCTCAAAAAAAACTCGTTATGGCTGTTAGAACTTGAACAACACGAACCGCAGAGCAGCTTGCAGACGAACTGAGCCAACGGCGGAAGCGCCGCCGAGATTCCAGTGGAGTGGGCCGCGAAGCCGAGAACCGACGACAGGTAGGTCGGCGAGTAGAGGAACATCATGTTGACGCAGGTGAAGTTGCCGATTGCTGCCACCCAAACGGCCCAAATAGCCGGCGTCTTCAGAATCGCTCCATAAGGTATCGCTTTCGACGCCCGCTTGCTGTAATTTCTCTCAAATTTTCCCATCCAAATGCACACTCTGTTTGGTAATCTTCATCTAGACTAAAATTTCGACACAGCTTCTTTAAACTCATTCTGAGAAACCGTTTCAAAACAGTAAGTACACTATTTGCAGATAGGACAGCCGATTAAGTCAATAAGAGGAACAAAGAACGGCCTGATTGATGACGTCGAGAATATTTATTGCAGATCTGCGTTTGAGATGATTTTTTGCATAACACGGCGGGAAATAAAGACATGATGGCACTACTCGTTTTCAAGTGATCTCTATACTGCAACGTCATTCTTCTTTTGCATGAACAAGATTCTCTAACGGCTACAGCGATAAAGCCGACAATGGTCAAATCCTCGAAAAGGCTCACTTTGCAGAGCAACAACTCACTCATTTTGAATCTTGCCGACGGCAATCTTGTTGAGTTCGACGTTGCCAACGAAGGGATGTTTGTTGGGCGAGTTGCGGTAAAAGAGACCGTAGGTGACAAAAAGCAGTAAAGAAACGGCTCCGTGAGCATAGTAGACAGAAGGCCATCTTGAAAGGTTTTTATTTGGCTCGAGTTTCTCTGGATATGGGACCTGAACGCCGAGCACAACGCTCCACCGACGGGATTCGTGATGGCAGGCGCGAGTTGAACATAAGCGACGAGCGCCGAGACAAACAAACCATTCTGAAAAGTCGAGCAGGAGATGGGATACATGCACAATTCGTGTTTGCCTGCTTGAAGTAGCTCCATTTGGCGCAGAACGCTCCGATCACGGGGAAATTGGCCGAGAAGGCGAAGCCTTGCAGGAAGCGCACGCCTAGGAAGTAGTAGAACCCGAGCTGAAAATCGTTACATCCTAGTCAATTATCCAAGAAAACTAGATGTTTTCTTTTAGAGGGCATTATCCGAAAAAGGCATTCATATAACATCTGATATTCAGGTTATCTTTTTCGACGCGAGCCTATGAAACTTTGAGAAAGCCAGAAGGACCTAAAAAGAACTTTTAGGAAAAAAGGCCTCACAGGAACCTCTTTTCTTGACCTCTTTTTAAGATAGACTTTTTTAAGAGGACAAAAAAAGAAGGATGCGGAACAAAGGTGAAAAAAGGAGATTCCGAGAAAATTTTTACACCTTTTTAGGAACCTAAAAAGGAGTTATAACTTCTTCTTTTTAAGGCCTTTTGGACTTTGTCCGTGAATATTTTCATTCTGGGAGCTTCTCGCCATTTTGAAAAACTGTTTTGCACGATAATGAACCATTTAAAAAATATTAACGCTTTTTTTAAAATGAGAACTCAGGAGTTTGTAAGATTTGAACTTTTGAGGAACCTATAGTGAACACCCTACACAAAAAAAACTACTTGATTTGAGTCTTATTTGCTTCGAGAGAAATATATCTACACGAGTTTCGATTCTCACACCAACATCTGCAAAAGAGAAAGAACTCAGAAGCACACTTGGACCGGCATCAAAAGTTAATCATTATTTTGGAGAATAGGGATCTTATGTACGTTCATAGCTCGAAACTTGAAGAATTACTGACACGGATAGAGAGTGGGATGAGCAAGGTGGCGACAGCAGAGATGATGCCAAACGAGGCGAAGATCGTCCTAATGCCGAATCTGCCGACCAACTGAACGACTGGGAAGTTGGCCAGCAACGCCGCAATGGCCACAATCGAGATTGACCACGATTTTCGTGCTGAAACAGGCGACATGACATTATATCCAAACCTTTGAAAATCATTAAAAAGATTTTTTTTGTTTGAAACGTTCGGCTTTAGTTCGAAAATTCTAAAAAAAACTATCAAGCAGCGCGACATTGTTAATTTTACACCGGTGTTTATTTTGATGCTGAAATTTTTTGACTCGAGATCATGACGCCAGTAAATCGGTGTCGAATCGATCACAATTCGTACACACAAAGAGACAATCGTCGTCTTCTCCCGACGGGTTTTATAGTCGTCCATCCATTTTCGGCTGTTATTTCCGTCCATTTTTCATTTTCTGATACATTCGGTTTGAAACGCTTCCGGTTCTATCTTCCAGAAATCGAGTATCAACTTGGAAAAAATTCAAAAAATCCACGACCATTCGTATGCAAAATAGTTTCCATTCAATTGTATATTTCACTCTTTCCAGCCTGTTTTATTGGTCAGTTTTTATTGCCAGTGGAATCAAAAAAAAGTGTGAAAAACACATTTTTCGCCGTCATAAAAATAAACTTTTTTTCAAAAAGTTAATTCGGTTTTATTTGAAGAAAAGAAAATTGAATTCGAAAAGTTCGATTCAATTCAATTCGTTCCTTTTTTTCTCGTTTTTTCTCCCATAGAGGAATTTCAACCAGAGTCAAAAATTGAAAAGGAAAAAAAGAAATTCAAAAAAAAAAAATGCAAAGACTGGATCAAATTCACCATTTATAACTTTGAACTACAAAACATCGGAGTTCAACGATACGTTTTTGGAGTGTTATTGGAATTATGCAAAACTACTCTTATCAACTACGACAACTAGTTTTTTTAGTTACAAAAAAACATAATTCCGTTCTGAATATTTAAAAAAATAACGAAAAGGGTGAAAACTCACAGTTGGTGAAAAACGTCTCACTGCCAGTATGTGTCGCATTACCTTCTTCGTGTTCGTCCATGCAAACGACGGCAATATTGAAAGTCAGGATGTTGGCCCTGAAAAAGTTTATTGGCTAAAAGTAAGAAATAAGAAAAAAAAAATTATATAAGTTCTTTTACTGTACTGCCAAACAGTTCCTGCTTGCAAAAATAACTTTAATTGAATGGAATATGCGATTTTTTAAACTCATAACAGAATTTTCGCAAAAGAAAAAGCTGAACGAAACCTATTAGCAGTTTCAAAACTATTTTCGAAGATTACGAAGGCGTCAAAGCCTATCAAGGTCTAATAGAGAAGAAAGAAAGGCCTTTTTTGTGGGACTGTTTCAATTTTTGAAAAAAAAAATCAAAAAAAAATGCAGAAAAAAGCAATTGATCAAGAAGAGAAATCGCACCAGATAGAAGTGAGACAAAGTAGCACGAGCACCATAACGACGAATCGAGTCCGAGTGCCGAATATGGCTATGTAGTTGTCCTGGGCTTGCGCCTCGGTCGGGAACACCATTTCTGAGCCTTTTTCCTTTACCAAAGACGAATTGGAATAGGAATAGAGGGGGCTGTGAGGGCAAGAGTTTGAATGTCAAAAGTTACACGCAACTCAGATCGTTTAAATATTCGAGGTGAACGCCCACAGCGACGGGAATAGGAGGCCTGAAAGAGGGGCGGCGCCGAGGAGGAGATGTGTGTCTATACCGTGCAGGCATGCGGCAAACACACATTAATTCCTTGGAGCAACATTGTCTCATCTATAGTCCGGCTTCTTTTTCAGCACGATCTTTTCTTTTTACGGATTAAGGCTTGTTTTTTGAGGGGCGATATTGAAAGAGATCCGAGAAGCGTAAATTCAAAGAACCTCAAAACTCATTCACATACTCTCAGCTTCCATGCATACGTTTTTTGGACACTAATTCTCGGAAATTACTTAAAGCTAAGATTTTTGAAAAGAAATTTGAAAAAAATTGTTTCCGAAGTCAAACTGCTTCAGACTTTTTTAAGCTTTCTATTCAAAGACAACCAAAAAAGAACATTTCGACGCGATGATTGAGTTCAGTCGCTCTTAAAACTTTGTATGGATGTACTTTTTTCGATCATCAAAAGAGGACACTAAAAGATTCTATCTTTTCTAGGAACGGTAATCCGAAGTGACACAGTTAGCGAAAATAGGATTTATGCTGCTGAAGAACGGTTAACACCGCGAAAAACAAACTCGGGTGTTTGAGAGCGCAAAATAGGTCCAGCGTTGAAAAGTGGACGTTCTTCTCAACATATTGACTTTTTTGAATCCTAGTCATGTCTTTTCATTTTCAGTAAGAATGTCGGATTTTACCGGAAGAAAACCACGTGCAATTACTCGCTTTGTTGTCACAAAACACGTGAATCTACAGCGATTCCTTTCGTCAAACCACAAAAATATCCTCTTTTGTTTTCCCGACTTCACAGGGTTTCACTGAAAAAACCGCGGGACATTACTTGCCCGAAGATGAAATGAAAAATGACCGCATGACAGTCAAACTGTAAGGGAATTTTGGTCAGAAGAAGTTCACTGACGACACTATCGATTGATAAAATCAGAAAAACCTTTGCGAATGCCTTTCCGATTCGCAGAAAGTTGGAAAAGTCTCCGCTAGTTTCTGCAAGTTGTCACGCCATCACACAAAAATCGCAGTTTTCTTTTAGCGAGAAAGACTGTTCTTACAACAAAAAAACAAATCATGGAACGTATTTGATAGTTATAATTCAGGATTCTTATAATATGATCGCAACCCGCTTGATTTAAACAAATAAGTCTGAAAACGCAAGAGTATAACCTTTTCTCATCTGAATGAGGTTATACTCTTGCATCTGAATGCCGTTTGAAAAGTGTGAGCTCTACCTCGTGAGTTAGAATACTTTGCGAGCGTTCGTCAACACTACAGCCTTTTTTTAGAGAATTGAAACAAACTTTTTTTAAAAAAAGGGCAGATACTTAATAATAAGAAAAACTTATCTAGAAAAAAAGCCCTTTTTCAGTGTGATTTCAAATCTTACGCGACACCTCCCCCAATACCACATCAAGGAATTTGGAGAAAAAACTATGAGCCTAAGCCATGAACGAAGAATTTCGCCATTCTTCGCATTCTTAAAATTTATTGACTCAACAATTGAAAAGTTTCGATGACGTACGGATTAAATCTACATTCCACAATTACAGTTCCTCTCGTTGGCCATTGATTTACGAATGTATCTCGAAGATTCGTCATTTTCACGAACTAACAACAATAAAAACAATAAGATGACCTTCTGAAAAAAACAATATCATGTATTTAAGTCAATCACCAACAACTACGTACTTTTGAATCAATACAACTTCTTAAAAAAAAAGCAGTAAGTGTGCAATTTTGAAAGGGAATGCAAGCCTGAAGAATTAACGTCACTTTTTCTTATTCTATTCTATAAACTCGCGATTTGGAGTTCAATTTTAATGTGTTTGTGATTCAATCAAATTTTGGTCAGAAAAAATCCGAAAGATCGGGAAATAATCGGCTCAACCGAAGAGCCAAACTTGCTTGATCATTTACACATGTCAATCGGGAGGAGAATTCAATTAGCTACCGGGTAGCTATCTTTTCATCAGATATCAAGACTTTCGCACGGTTAGCAAAACACTGATGCTAAATGAACGATCACCGTTAGCTATCCAGTAGTATCGCCGGACTAGCCGGCAGCAATCGAAAATGTCAGATAGGTTAGCGATAGTATCCAGATAACTACCCGGTAGCATTGTACGCTACGACGCGAGACGGTCAATTTTTGCAAGAAGCGCAGAGAAAAAGCTACCGTAAAAATGACTTTCTTTGCGTCTTTGCTCTACCAAAAGCAAAAATGACAGCGAAAAACGATGGTATTGAAGCAAAGTGGGGTCAAAGATCTAATTTGGTATACGGTCTCTGTAGCAGATTAAAAAAAGCATCAACCTGGCGCGAAATGTGGGTGAAGTACTCTTTAATCATCGCTTCGATCATATTTGCAGCACTCTTTCGCGTCGCAAAATCACTGAAAACGAGTGGTAAAAGTTAACGATGGAAATCACACCTATGTGAATCTTGAAGACCAAACGCACTGAAGTCCTAGCCGTATTGTCGAGCGCTTTTTCATATTCTTTTACGTCGCATCTGGAAAATGATATTCAAATTTTAAAAAAAAATAGCGTTTCTCTGAAAAAAAAATTCAAGTCACTGGCCAATCCACAGAAATAGCTAACAGAGTGGACTCTCCGATTTAATCGCGGAATCCTAAAGTTCAATTGAAATTAGAATACAGAGTCTGACTTTCTTGTATTTTTTGTGTACTCCGATACTATCCCAATGCTATCTTGACTTGCAAAAAAATTTGAGAGGCTACGATTTCGTCAGTTCTGGCGAGTAAATGAAACATCTTTTATTTTTTTAAAAGTTTCCGTTTATCAGATAAACACGCCAATAACACAACACGGAAAAAAGAACTGACAAAGAAAAACTTCTTTTAAATGATGAATTGAAAATTTCCCATACAAGTCCTGCTTTTCGAGTATCTGGTGGAATAAGCAGCGAAAAAAAAATTTTGAGAGGCTTCGCGGAGATCGCAAAACTATGTAAAAATTGTATTCTCTGTCTTCATTTGATTTTCATGAAAGTTTCTAAATAATTTTCGTTCAATTTCCTTTTTTTGAGATCTTTTATTACACGGCGCTTTCAAAGCTATAATATTATTCTTCTTCTTCCTTATATAAAACAATACCATATTGTCAATAGGCTTGTCGCTGAAAAATTTATTCGCGCAACCGATTTAAAAAAACTGAAAAAAATTATATATTTCTTCATTTTTGATTCAAAATCTTTCAGTATAAGATAGAGGAATTGAAAATCACGAAAATGCGGTGTTCAAAGTAATTTTCGCGACTCTCCAAATATTTAATTATCGTTTTTATTTTCTGACGGATGTTTTTTTCTTGGAACAACTTTAAACACGGCATTAAAGAAGGCGTAAATTTAATAAAAAAAAGTCTCTATAGAAAATTTAAAAGAAAAAGAAAAGAGGGATTTTAGAAAATTGTAAACTCTCAAACAAAAAAGTTTCTTTTGCACAAGTACGCTCCAACGAACACGGAGGCGCGATTGCTCTGCACCAGTCTTGTGCGAGGGCCGGCCCGTCACCCTCCCGGCCCCCCGACCATTTCGTAAGCCCGGCCCGGCCCGGCCTTAGCGGGCCTCAAGAAAAAATGGCCCGCCCGGCCCACGGCGTTCTGCGTAGTGGAAGAAAATGTAAAAATTTTGAAATTGCGGAGCGGCTTCGAAACGTTGCTCCATCTAGATTTACGGTAGACAGCTTGCGCGCGAAAATTTCAATTTCTTGTTGCTCAAGTTCTTCAGGTGATTTTTCATGTTTATTTCAGTTTTATCTTTATCTGATTTGTTCTGATTTATGGTCATTATTTTTTATTGCGGCAGCAAAATGCGAAGGAACTTTTTTTCAATTTTTCAATATTAACTGCTCGGTTTTTGACAAAATTTCCCCTTTAAAGCAAAAAGCTTTTTCAGCAACATTTTTCAGTGTCAAATTAAATTTTTTTATTCGAATCAATCAATCTCTTCATTTTCGCAACATCAGAATGGTATGGCGATGTTGCAGAGAAGAAAAAATACCACTAGGTGGATGAACTAAACTAAATCTGTAAAGAAAACTTTTTTTAAAAATTGTTTATAAGTGGGGAAAGACACATAGAACCACAATAAGTCATTTTCGGCACAAAATTTCACGTTTTTCACTGAAAAAAAAGGACTTTAACTAATTTTGAGGGTGAAAGGTATAAAAGTGCTCAGAAAATAAGAAAAACTTTCACCCAAAATTTTTTTTGTCAGCTAGAAAAGGAATTGTGAAAGGATTGATTTTTTTCACGTCTATAGTTTTGAAAAAACGCTATTTTTCGAGGGAAAAAATTATTTTCGAATTTAATGAGTATGCGAGTTAGCGTCGTTTTGTGCATGCACCAAAGACGTCAAATATTACGGAAATTGTGGGAGGGGCGTCGTCAAAAGAACGCCGTGGGCCGGCCCGAATCGCGCAATTTTTTTCTAGCCGGATATCAAGTTTTTTTTACGACAAAAATTACGTTTTTGCTCATTTTTTCTCTTAAAGTTTAACAAAAACTATTGCCGTGTTCAAAGTAATTTCCGCGAAATGCAAAATGGTCTCTGACCCTCCAAAATTTAGTTATCTTTCTCTTTCTCTGACGGCTAATTTGAATTTCGCGGAATCACTTTGAACACGGCATATGATTTCAGAAGTAAAAGTCACATTTCGGTGAAAAATTTTTTTAAATGAAATTTTTGAATTTTTTTGAAGCCCGGCTTGGCCCGAGCCCACGCGGGCTTTTTTTCCTGAAAAATGAGGCACAAAGCCCGGGCCAGGCCGGGCTTCGAAAGATATTTTAAATTTCATTGTGATAAAATTTCACGGAAAAAAATTATTTTTTTACATGTTAAATCATAGTTTCTAATAACTCTATGAGAAAAAATAAGCAAAAATACCACTTTTCTCGTTAAAAAAGCGAAAAATTCACTTGAAGAGAATTTGAGTTTTTTGGGCCGGGCTTGGGAAGGGGCCGAGAGGTTGACCCTCGCACAAGCCTGACTATATCGCAGCGAGAATTATGCTATACCGCGGGAGAGCCGCGAGCAATATCACTCGCCTCTCGCTGCGACCACGCAAACGTCATGCGCTGTATCGCTCTGAAAAATTTTTCCTCAAAAATTTTTTTTCCTTGAATTCCTTCAATAATGTTTTTTTTTTTCATAAAAGTCAAAAATAAAGCAAAAAAATTTTTTTTCAAATTTAAAATTTTTGAGAGGGAGCGATATGGCAGCGAGACTTTGATTCTCGTTTTGTCTCACATTGAAATACAGTTTTGACATGAATTTTTTTGATATATAAAACTACCTAATGATCCTGGGTTTTTTTTCAATCTGTCCCGAGCATTTTCGAACAAACCTATGAAAAAATTTCGAAATGAAAGCTTGGCATTTTAAGTTTTGTTTTAGGAACTCAAATTGTTACTTGAGCAGTAAAAAAAACAATGGACAGACACGAAAATTATTGTATTTACAGCGTGTTAATTAGGTATAAAGCTAAAAAGAAAAGAAGAAAAGAGTGCGCGCGGCATCATTTTTGGCAGCAAAAATACGCCGTCAGTACCTGAGAAATTTTAAAAATGAAATTAAACGGAAAAAAAATTATAAAGCAAACGAACCATCAGCAAAAAGCGCATCTCCACCGTCGTTCAACTTCTGAGACGGAAACGGTCGCGAATGACACACGATAGAATCGTCTCTCCTTCACCATTGTTAATGGTCTTCCAAAGGTTAATGACGTCGCGGTTTCGTTAAACTTCCGAAGTTCAAACCTTCTCGCATTTACGGTAGGCAGACTAGTATCTGCTGATTAGAAGAGGGCGGGCAGACGCTTCTGCATTCATTTATCAGCCAAATTTTATACTTTCCCTGAAGAAACGTTAAAAGAAAGATTTTAATCTGTCTGTCATCAATCAAGTCACCGGATATCTATTCTTAGCCGGTTGGCACATGGTTCTTGAATTTTTGTTTTCATCTTTTCTGTGGGAGTTCAATCCGAATTTGACTTTAGCTCATTCAATTAACTTCATCATCAATATACTGTAATTTTTCGTAGATAAAAAGGACTTCAGAGTAAATTTAAAAAAGATCGGAAAAATCCAAATAAACTTTTTTTGTTCTTGCATACTACTCGACCAATTTTTTTATGACTTTGTTGACAGATCTATACTAAATTTTTGAATTTTGACAATATAACGGTCAATTAACTCTTGAATACCAGCGTTCAACTATAACATAGGTAATAATCTTCAGCGCTTTTTTTAAACTTGAAGTGAAATATCCTAGTATAGCTCAACTGAAAAAAAAGAAACAAACAAAAAAAAGAAGCCGTGACTGGCTCTAATCGACACAAGGAAGGGCTCTACGCCGCGAGACATTTTCTTGAATTTCGCCCAAGCTCCCAAAACTTCAGAAAATCGCAGACGAATTTATAATATAATCGGACTCGCTTCCGCTCAATTTCCCTTTACGAAAAATTTTCGTTTTGAACTATGATCTCCAAAGACAAAAATTCCTTGACAATCAGAAGAAATGTCTTTGCAAACTTTCAGCCAATTTTCACAGCTACACCAAAATGGTCTCTAAGCAATATATTGCTTCCGGACGACCTAAACCTGAAGAAAGGCCAAATTTGGAGGCGTATTCAAATCTCGGCCCCACCCACACACCTATATAATTGTGATTGTCTTTCAACTTTCAACTTCTCCGTATCAAACGACCTTCTTTTTCTCTCGCTCGCTCTCCGTTTCTGCTATCAACAAATTTCGCGTTTGCCCCCTCGACGTCACGAGTTCGTCGACCGCTGATCCAATTGCGCTCCAGACTACGGTAACTCTGAACTTTTCAATTCTGCAATATTTGTCTTTTGTGCCATGATATGATAGGACGCGACTGATCGTGAGGCGTGTGTGTTTCCGGCAGGCACATACAGGACAGCGAGTTAAAAATAATATCAAATCGGTCCGATAAAGCGAAGAAGTGAAAAAAGATCAACAGCGATTAAGTTTTTCTCCTTCTTCTTCTCCCTTTCTTTTTAATTAACTCAAAAACGATTTTTTTTAACGTTCGATGAAAAAAAGAATCTAAAGCTTCCCTATTCACTGTTAAAATGTGTCGTGAAGGATTTGTTTTGGCCTGAGCCATGAAGAAATGCTCATGTCTCTTGCCAGAACATACCCATCGCGCCGCAAATTTTTATTTTCATATGAAGAACTTATATCTATTTCGAACTCTCATTCTTCAACAACAAAGCAGGTATTGATATCCAGTGATAAAAAAACCTGTTTTTTTTCTCGCCACGGTTGTTCAACTTTGCTCGTTCACCATCTAACGACGATTCAAATATTTGCCCAACGATATAAACGTCCCGTTTTTCAAATAATTCAACTCGACAGGGTGAAATTTTGGAGTGAGAAACTTGGTTCGATTATCTTATCACATAGATAATTTTATTAATTTTTTAGAAGGAACTTTGGTTACAATAAACTGAAACGGGAAGCTGTAAAAACACGAGTCTGTAAGTTGACTCTGTTTGTTTAATTCCTTTCTGCGTTTGTTTATACGTATACTTAGGTAGGATAATAGGAAAGAATAGATTAAAGTAAAAACCAAACTCTTACTATCTCGACCAAGTTTACTCAATCAAGTTTGATATTGAAGTTCTTGGGGGCTTGAAATTCAATATAAATAAGTTAGACCTAGCCTATGACTAAAAAGAGCTAATTTTTACTGGAAATAAAGTTCACGATGAATTTTTAACGTTTCGGCTCGATCAAATGAAAGGAAGTTTTGTGCTCTATGAAACATTTTAAAAACGAAACCTGGATTGCAGGTGAAGATGAGAACGATATTCGGTCTCTTGATTTGATCAGTAGCACTGAATAAGTCATATTGGCTGAAAAAATGTAACTCATACTCCATAAAAAAATTGGGGCTCTGTCTCTAATGTTTTCAAAAATTTCCAATAGCTACGGGAGTAATAAGAGAAACTTTTTGACTGTGTTGAAACTTCACCCAGTGCGATGTTCCATAATCATAATTGCGGTAGCAACTTTTTGAGCCATTTATTCTCACTGTAGCCAGGCTACGGTAGACATGCTATGAGCCGTCTGCCACCATGAAATCCCTGCATTTGCCGCCTCAAGACCGCGGTTGAGCGTTTTCGAAGCGATTTTACGATTTTTGCGACATCCTAGACATTTTTCAATTTGGTATCAACTTCTAGAGTTTATTAAAAGGTATCTTCTTTTGAAAAACTAGTAATAGGAGACCTTGCGGATAAAACTCAAGGTGATCAAAAAACCCCTCCGCAAACATAAAACAAACAAACATTCTCCTTCTTTCATCAGAAATTTATTATCTCGTTATACTATCTTTAACAGAAATTTCTTCAAGTTGCCTAGAATCAAGGTCTAGATCGCCCGTTTTTGAACTGAGATCTTCTTTTGCTTCTTGCGCCTCTTGAGCTGTTTTCGGACCTAAAAAGTGATACACTTTACGACTCTGTGTCCGGTGTATGAAGAAAATACCTTCGAGGTCAGCAAGACTAACGGCGCTGTTCTCAGAATGCATACCGACCTTAACGCCTACCGCCGCTAGTACCTCGGTTAATCGTTTCGAATAGTCCAAATGTCCTTTCACCTTTTGAATGGATGATTTTAAAGTCGGAAAAGAAAAGGAAATTTTACGATATGACTCAAGTTGCAGTTGTAAATCTTCTTGTTTTTCTTGTTGTCAAGAGGTCCTGTGCCAGCAATCGTAAATTGAACGCTCATAGTTCGGTACAGAAATCTGAAAACGATCAATCATTTTTATTTTTCCTTGCATCTCAAAAAAAGTTTAATATTTGAAGAAGAAAGGTGAACTTCGAACAGTAAAAACTACGAAAGTTTGTGAAAAAGTTCGCTGAAAGTTCAGAGATTTTTGCATTTTTCTTAATGAGTAAAAACTTTTGAAAGTCATGAGATTGACGAAAAAGCATTTCTCTTAGATCAAATGCTTCTCAAAACAAATTAAAGTACAACCACGATGTCTGCCAGCTTTTTTTTTTCCTAGACCTAGAGAACATTTTTCTGAAATACTTAGGAAATAAGGAACTATATCTATGAAACCTTTAAATCTTTTCCAAATAAGTACTTTTTCAAAAAACTTTGTCTTTAAAAAAAATGCAAAAAAGATTCGCCCTCGACAGGAGTCGAACCTACTCAAAAAAAAGTCAAGCATGAGACTGGTTGATTTTAAACACTCACACCTCTCTTATGAACACGAAAGAAAAACCAACCGAAGCAACCAATCTGTTTCGCAGTATCCGTTGATGACGCGACCACCAACGACTGTACACAGCTGCGCCCATTGCTTCGGCGAAGCTGTAACCGGCGCACCGAGCAAGATCACGTCTTCTATTATTCCTCAATTCGCAACGAAACATCTTCTAACGGATCGCATTCAGATCTTACCGACGCTTTCGGAACGTTTGCTCATTGCCAAGAGGCAGTGGAAAATGACGCGAGCGCCAAGGCTGAAGCCGATGAGGGTGATGGGTCTCTTGCCGTGAGACCGACTGAGCAGAACTTCCGCTAAGTGTTCACCTACCTGCGTGTAACATATATAGTCTTCGTATAGTCTCAATTGACTCGTTACCTCAGCTGCTCTCGATATGCAGACGTTCCACGGGTTGTCAAGCACTGAGGACACGGAGATCAAAGCGACCGGCCACGCTACCGCCGACATCAACCCTACACAATAAACATCTTTTTTTTTCTGTGCAAGTTCAATTTCAAAAAGACTCTTCAATTTGAGGAAACAAAAGCCTTTCTCTCAGTTTGCTCTAAGAATAGACGGTTCGTATACAACAGCTTTTGTCGCTTTGGAGATTTTCTTCTTGAAGCTGTCTCGAAGAAATATGCATCCGTTGCATACTTTTTATGAAAATAAAAAAGCATGGAAACAAAAATTAAAAATTCAATAGACAAAAACTGAAAAAGCGCAACTTTTTTCTGAGAACTTTTCAAAAAAAAAAACCCCTGACCAGCAAGAGCAGTTTCGAGTAACGTCTGCTGGATTGCAACTGAAACGGCAAAACCCATTAAGTATTCAATGGCGTTGCCCAATTCGGTCAAGTACTTGCTCTCGTATCTCAAAATCTCCTCTTTTCACTTTGTACCAAATCCCGGTGTGCACCTGAGAGAGTACTGCTCTCGGGAATGCTTGATATGTCTCCATTGATATTCGAAAGCTTGTTCTGGAGTCTGAAATTCCCTTTTTTTGAGTTCTAGTCGATTCGGCCTGACTTGCTCAAAATGCGGTTGGACATTTATCTTTGCGCGCGCAATAATCTCATACTGAGAAAATTAGCAGGACTGGGGAGCAGTTAAATGATAAATTACAAGTTTAACGGTAGATTCAACGCGGCTAATGCAATCCCGCCGTCTCAAGTCAGGCCAAAACGATTTTCCCTACACCTACAGTGTCGTCTTCCACCCAACCACTAACGACCAGTGTGCAGTGTAGATCTGTTCCTTCTGATAGTGTTTCAATCGCAAACTCCTCAATGGCGCCAACTCGTTTTTTCATCTGTAAAAGTCCAGGTTTAATAATAAACTAGTATAGACAATGTTTCCCGACTTGAAAGGCAAGGGAGGCGGGGCAAGGGGCGGGACGCGTAGCGTGTGCGTTCGCGGTTCTTGGCACGAGTTCAATTCAATTGCCGCCGACTATTCAAAAAGCTCGGCAACCGCTCTTTTTCAATGTTTTCTACTACTTTTTGATGAAAACATGAACATAATCAATAAATAATTGAAAAAGGAATCAAAAGAGCAAAAAGCGGGATTTTCAAAGAGTCAATGGCGGTTGAATTGAACACGTGCCAAGAACCGCGAACGCACACGCTACGCGTCCCGCCCCTTGCCCCGCCTCCCTCGCCTTTCAAGTCGAGAAACATTGACTATATCGCTCGAATCAAATTACTTAAAATGCTGTGGCTTCCTACTCACTTAAGCGGTAATTTCGAATGAAAAAGAAACGCGAAAGTTACAACTCAAGTCAAAGAGGAGATCTGACCCAGGGTGCGTCTATAATTATGACCCGACCAAAAGCATTCTTTGACGAATTTCGAAAGTCCAACCGCATTTTGAGTCTATAACTATGACGGGCAGTGTATAAGGCTTTGAAATTCAATTTTTTTGAAGTTTCTCTACCTCTTTTCGCGTAATAAAAAAGGAGAGAAAGATTTGCAGCATAAAACTTCCGGAATTGCTAACTTTTCATCTTGAACATACTTCTTTGTTTCTCCAAAGACCTGCTATACGAACCAACCTTGTAACCCGTGAAACCAGCGCCAGCAACGCCCATAGTCGTTCCGAGGATGGCGGCACCTGCAGTCGTAGCTAACCCGGCGAGGGCACCACCGCCAATCAGCAAGCCGGCAGACGCGGCCACCAGAGGTGCTGCCAGGCCGCCGGTCAACCCTTAAAATCAGCTCTCCAGACGTCTCTTCTCCCTTGGAGTACCGATGAGAACCCCGCCGACACCGCCAGCTACTCCAATCTTCAGGTACCGTTTTATCTTTTTGTTTCTTGCCGTTTTCATGCGAACTTGCCGGCTGTGTCTGCAAAAACATTCAGCTTCTTTCACAATACCTCCAGTCTTTAAAAAAAATGAGAAAAGACGTAAATAGTCGCCTCGGCTCGCCTACGACATAAAAATTGACACCTTTCTAGGAAGAAATTTCGTTGACTTCTGAATGAGATTCAATTCACTAAAGGCAGTTTTCTCTCTCCCTGTAAGAACCACTCCAGCTTTTCTCAGTAAGAGCATAGCTGCTATTGATGGAAATTATGCCTATATTTTTTTCAAAATCGAAAACATTTTTCTTTCTGAGGAAGCACAACACAGAACAATCACCAAACAACAACCAAAATTACCGTTCCACTCTTTTTTCTCCGCTGAAAATTAACGAATGAATATGAAAAAATTTGAGAAATTTGAAGCCAGAACTCACTCTGTCTCAACAAACTGCTCACTTAGCAATCTTGACGCAAACGATTCTTCAACCTGAATATGACAAATTTTCGTTTTATTTTCCAAAAATAAAAATAATAAACTATTTCGAATTCGTCCCACATGACGCCAAGAAGAGTGGACATATGTCGCAAGAAAACGCGATACCGCGAATCGTAGTTTACTGAAGAAAAAATTGGATAGTTTTCAAAGCTCGCAGGATTTCAAAGTTTGTCATTCAAATAATTTGCGCTCTTTTCATGAAAAATCAGGTTCGACTACTTTTACCGTGACACTTTCTTTGCTCGTGTTCAATTCATTCTTCCAGACCCTAGTATTATCAGTTCAACAGGGTTCCAGTTACTCGCAACACATTTCGAGCGCGCCGGCAAAACTTTGACAAGCCTCAGTACTAGGGTTGCACGGAATAGAAATTTTCGAGGGTTAAGGAAGATAAATTTATGCGGAAGACAGGTAACGGAATTCCGTGCAACCCTGCTTCTTCCGGTATGAAGAACCCTCCCGTTGGTCTACCTACCTTAAAAGTTTGAAGGCATCATGCGCGACTTCGTTTTGTAAAACCATGTCGCGCACGTGAGAAATTTTTGGATGGCTGTTCATCAGTTAGAAACCAGTAATAGGAAGTACCTGAGCCGATGAAAGCGTAGAGAAATCCAGCAAGAAAAGCGGTCGCATCAGATCTTCTGCACACGGGATCGTCTCTGATTGTCAGAATCAACGCCCCAATGTCAGGTAGAATTTCCTCTCCCTAAGTGATAGAGCGCATTTTCAAGGTTTTCGAATGTAAATAGAAACTTCCAAATGGGTCTTCAGGCTTTTGACGACTTTCTCTGGGAGCTCGAGGTAAGTCATAATGATGTTGAAGGTAGTTTTGCAAAAGTATCTGAAAAATTAACGTGCGAAAAGACTTTCAAATTGATGAGAAACATGGAGTTGGGGTCGAGGTCATCCCAGAAGTCGAGACGAAGGATGGCGGTTGTGAGGTTGGCGAGAGCGAACCGTGTCGCCGGCTCCATCGGCTCATTGAGCTCCTTCTCGATGTCTTCAGTTGGTGTAGAGCTGTTCGACGTACCAGCATCTTCAAACCGGGGTTGCAAGAGAAGCGACTTTTTGAGTTCGAGACGAGATGAGAAAGTTTTTCAAACGGAATTTTGGGACGAGATGCAAGCTCTTTTTGATTTTCAAGACGAAATTGAAAAGTAAAAACTTCATTTTGAGTCGAGAACAAGACGAGCCTTGTCGTGAAATTTTTTGGAATTTCGAGAAGAGATGAAGTTTGTCTCTTTTAAATCGACACGAGATCGAGTCTTGTGCAATCCAACTTTAAACCAGTCCACCCCAATTGATATATTTCGAAACCATCTAAAATTATTTTATTCGATCAGATGAAAGTGCTCGATGCAATGGAAAAAAGCAACGACGCACTCTTAAAAGTTTCGAACTTTCCAAATATGCATCTATTTTCATGATTTCAATCAATATTTACAATTTGAAGAACGAAAACAAACCAATAGACCCGGCAGCTGATGTTGGCCGTTGAGGAAAAGAATAAACAACTGACGGCAGTTTTGAAGCCTGGAAGAAAGGAATTCGCCGTAAAACAAGAAGTTAAAGGAGATAAGATAAACTTATTTTGTGCTGCATTTACCGAAAAAACTTTTTGAACTTTTAAAGAGATGGCACGACGTTCCTGAATGGAACTCACAGGCAAGGCTTCTAACCGGGCAAATTTGGCTTGAACATAGGGTTCCCTCGAACTTGAGGGGCTAACTTTTTCCCCGCTTTAGTGAACCCACATAGGGGTCTCGAGTGGCCTTCACGGACCCCCAATGTTGCCATTAAAGGGACCGCTCTGGCGTTCCTGGGTAAAACACATCTAAACTTTTCTAAAAATTGGAGAAGTCCTGTTTGGGAACACTGTGAAAATTTATCGCAATCTAATGCCGTGTTCAAAGTAATTCCCGCGAAATTAAAAATCATGCCCGTCTCTCAAAAGTTAAGTTGTCGTTTCCACTCTCTGAAAGCTATTTCGGATTTCGCGGAAACACTTTGAACACGGCATGAGTGCAGGGCCTCAAATGAGCTACCACTCTAGTGTGTCGGTGAAAAACAGACTTCGCCACTGCTTGAGGAAGACGACGAGGCCGAAGGAGTCGGTGTCTTGGCCCTATCGTTCATTCAGCTGAAAAGGAAGCCATCAATTTTATCAATGTTTCTACGAGAGTTATTTCGTAAATTAACAACAGCGACGTATCGAATGAAACAAACAAAATGCAAGAAATTGAAAAAAAAAAGTAGAGCTACAAACTTTTTTTCAATTTTTAAAAAGTGAGAAAACTGTTGAAAACTAGTCAAAACTGTTACCATCGAGAAAGAATCTGAATGAACATATTTTTTCAAGATTTTCTTTTTCCTTTTGGCTCTATACCAACAAGTATTGCAGTCGCAACAATTCATCAAACGTCTAGGAGAAAAGGAAACAGAATGAAAAATGATTTAAAGAATGGAGAGCATTGAATTCTCAACAACAACAAAAAAAATCCAAAACAAAAAGGAAATTTTCCGGAAAGCAAGTTCTTTCATTTATAGGGAAACAAATTGTGAAAAACTTGAGGCTTGGTTGAAAAAAAGAAAAAGTCCCTAGTTCAGACTCAAAATTAATTTGAATACACAAGAGAGAACAGAAGTATTGGAGGGCGTGGAAAAAAATGTTTAAAAAAAACTTTGATGAACTGCTTTTTGGTTTCTTAAGACGCAAAACAACAGAAAAAAATGAATGTATATTTCCAAGAGAATATTTAGTTTGCTATTATATTTGAAAAAAAACTTCTTCTTCTTTTCACGCCTTTGTACCGCTCGAACGTTTTTTTGCGCCTCAAATTGACTAGCCGAGGTCCTGATAATCAGTAATTGAGGTCGTAAACAGTAAAGTAAAAAAAAAACTGCGACTTTTGCTGATGTCATAAGGTTTTATAAGGAATTCAGAGAGATAGGAACAAATTGCCGTGGTAAGAACACTGATTGACATCCTTTTTGAGTTACAGGAAACAGCGAAAAATCATTTTCCCCTTTATTGCCTACGAGCTCGGGATTTAGAGACCTATCCGTTCTTCTGGGACGACTGGAGATTATGAAGCCGTGGTTTGCCGCTACCGACCTTTTTGCATACCTTTGTTGGGTCACGACGTAAAAATATAGTTTGAACACAGGAAAAGGAATGAGCGTGAATAATTTCAATAAAAACGTGTAAATTCCTAAAAAAAAATAAAATAAAAAATCCACGAAGGATAAAGTTAAAGTCGCATTTCTATTAAAATAAAGAATCGCTGTCACAGTGGAAATTTTGCTAATAAAAGAGAAAAAAAACGAGTCGCGTGTTTGCTTCAAAAGGGAGAAGGGGAAAGAGAGGGGAGGGAAAAGAGGCAAAAGAGCATTCGACTCAGTGTTCTCTACAAGCTCCCTCAAGTATACTGATTAAACCCCAAAAACTGAAACTTTTTTTTTCTAAAAAAAGTTTGTAAGTATTCCGGAGATTACCCTACAAAAAAATTATTCGTGGTTAGTCAGCATTCGATAGAACAAATAATTCAACGCTTGTTTTTCTTTTTTTATTATTATTTGATCGTTTTTCATTTTCAAGATTGTTGAAAAAAATTTCAAGTCGTTAAAAAAATGGAATTTTTTTAAAAAAATTGTTCTCAATCTAAAAAAACTCAAAGAAAAAAAGTGTTATTCACTCGGATATTCTGAAATATAATTGAATAAAAAAAGACTGAAAAAAAGAACAGAAATAACGAGTCTGAAGGCTTTTCCCGCATGTTGATTCGACCTTTTCTTTTCGAATATTCTGAAAAATTCTTCGCCATCTTTTTTTTCTCATTCCTTCATAGTTCAAGAGAGAACAATGCAAACTCGATAAAAGACCTTATCGCGAAACGAAAAGGGCGAGAAGGAATTAATTTCGCCGAGCAGCCGCAACTGGAGAAAAAAAGCCAGTTAATGAGAGAGAAACGGAGCTTGAAATTCTAATAAAATCTTTGATAGCTATTCTGTATGAATCAAAAGAAAAAAGAGATGAAGAGCCTTTGAAGATTTGAAAAAAAAGTTGTAATAACTTGATAAAAACTCGCATTTTTAAAAGCCTCTCTAAAAAACAAACGAACATCTTCTTGAAGTTAAAACTCCGTTTTCGGTTCTTTTTTCTTTCACTACACTTGCAAACCATTTTATTTCTGGATTTCAAAAGACTCAAAAACTTGGAAAGAAAGATCTCATTTGCCAGCGTTGATGAGCATGTCCATGTAGGCGCCCTCGAGCAAATCCTCGTGTTTAATTCCAAGTTCTCGCAAGATTTCCCTAGCGATGTGCTCTCCTTTATCCACTGTATCGTCTTCGGCCAGACACACCTTCAATTTGTTCCAGCTTATAATTTTTCTGAATGAAAAAAATAACAAGCCAGAGGATACACCTTGAAGATGAAATAACACAATAGAACTTGTAAGGGATGCTCAAAAAATCGTTATTTTAACACGAGACTTCTACGGCTTCTACGAAATTAGAAAAGCAACTGAGAAAAAATATATTCGAAAGTCTTCAAAATGGAATTTCAGCATTTAGCTAGGCAGAAAAAGTTTAAAAAGTGAATTTCTTCTTTATCCACCAAAGCAGAGATTTTAAATTCAAAAAAACGTGAGTCGAACTTCTATAATCAAATTCTGTTGACGCTCTCCGGAATTGTCTAAGTACAGAGGCCTTTCCACCTCAGAACACTCTCCTGCGAGTATCCCCAAAAGGGCTGAAAGCTCATAAGGGAACTTTTGAGTCAAATTTGCTTTCCCTGATCAGAAACTAAATCTTCTTTCAAAAAAATGAATTTAAAAAAATCTCGAAATTTGAGAATAAACCCAGCCAGGCGATTCAAAAGATAAGTCCTACCTCAAGTTCCAGGAAATCTCCAAGACCTTCAACACGATCAATGTGAATGCGCGTTTGTCCGTACAAAAATAGGCTTCTTTCCTAGTCAAAACGAAATTGAAGCAAATTAAGAGTCGATTCCTTACAACCTTTTTAATTTCTCCTTTCACTCCCATAGATGCTTGCAGTGTCGCCTAAAACTCATTTTGCTACGATGACTTAAAAATCCAAAAAAAAAAACCTTCATCGATTCAATCAAACTCTCCGGCACGTCGAATTTTGTGAAGTTGCTGACCTTTGGACCAGCGACGTCCGGTCGATCGTACCAAATGAGTTCCGTCTTCTTCTGCCAAAACGCAAGATTTTTGACAATTTTCCTTATATCTTGCTCACATTCCCTGCTTCAGTAACGCTTCTTAGCTTCAGACGCCCATTTGGAGAGTTGTAAAATACATCGTGCTGTCTAAGAAATGAACGATTCGAGAGTATCGATGAAACTTTGGTGATATGTATACCAGGTCCCCGGATTCCAGAACAAGAAAAAAATTTTAACGCAGGAGTTAATCTCAGACTCAAAGTTTTGGTAACAGTTGTCAGGTTTCGAATCTTTTTAGATCAATTTTTCTGGGGGATTATTGATGAATGTTCATCTCCTCACATTTGAAAATGGATGTACCGCAGAAAGTATTTTTGCCAAAAGGGATGTTGAAACTACTGAAAAAACGACAAAAAAGAACGGTTGCAGTTAATTCTCTCGTTCCACCTTCATCCCATCGAAAAAGTTCGATTTTTGATCCAACTTATGAAAATATACTTTGAAAAACTTTTCAAATGAATTTTCCAAATTTCACCTCAAGATAACGGCTTCCTTCCCGGAAATTTGCCGTGAACTCTTGATCACATCATCAAAGCTTTTAATTACAGCTTTGATCTCCACATTTCGCGACATCTGCAAAAAAACTGTTTCTGAAAGAAAAACTTATTTTTCAGTAAAAATTCTATTGACAGGACAAGATAACCATGAGAATAAACTTGGATAGTAAAGATTTAGTAAAAAAATTTATAATTTTCCATTAAATTATTCAAGAACTTTCGAAAATTGTGCTTTGTGATGAAAGAATTAAAATAACAAAAACACTTACGATACCGCTCAAAAATACCCATTCAATGAAGGTTATTACCGTGGAAAAAAGTAAAAAAGCAAAAGCGAGTTGAGTACCTGAACAACTATGACCCGAGTTGAATACAATTAAACTAACTGAATGAAAAGGCGATTCGAGTGTAAATACAATAATTGGAAAAGGGAAACCTTTGAAAAGCTTAAAGTAGACATTAGAAGACAAACTTGAATATTACAGAAGATCTCGTGCTGGTGTGAAAATAGATAAATGGGAATAGAATTTCGAATTGGACAGAACATGCAATATATTACTAAGCGACCTATTGAAAAATATGTAAAAAGTAAACTCTGAAGAAAAATAAACAGGAAAAAGAAAATCAATAGCCAGTGTACTTTTCGGCAATTTGTTGAATCTTCCTGAGGCGGTCGACGCCTCGAGAAATGTAGTTGTCGCCATTTTGAATGCTCATCCACACGTTCACCGACAATTGAGTTCGGACAGTCAGTTTCCGTAGTAGCCGAGCTACTACCCTATAAGGAGAAAACTTGAATTTTTTGGACTAAATTGAATGTGTTATTTGCAGATGAATTACTTCCGAAAAAATTAAGTTTTGTGGAGGAAAAAGGCAATACGATAGGTGAATGGGAACGAGGCTCAGAAAATTGAAGTTTCTCAAAGTAGCCCACCAAATAGAAACAGATTCTTTCATTAATTCAAAAAGGTGATGCAACATAGAGACTTTCAAAAGAAAATAGCGGAAGCACCTGTCCGTGACCAGACAGCGTCGCATGGCAAGCCAACATCCAATTTCTGTTTTGGCGTGCACCTGCACCAATAGATTTTGTTCGTCCTGCGGAGTCACCTGAAATTCAAAACTTCAATGATAGAATAGATGGCGCGTTTATCATGTTGCGTGAATTTGAATAGGGCCATACATACCTCTAAAGCAACCTGAACAAAAGTTCGGCAAAACTGTCCCAGTTTGAAAGGCGTCCCGCTCTCGTTCCAAATGATGGTCACGTAGTTGTTGCCAATCAATTTTTTCTTCATATTACAATCTTTGTCTTTTTCCAGGTTTGTAGGCATCAGCGTGGCCACCAGAAAAGTCTGAAAACAGATTTGAAGACTGACGAAAAGACAAAAAAAATAAACAATTTCGCTCATTTCGTCACAGAATTGATAGGTGTAGTGGCCATGGACGCCTTCTTGCAAACCGCCGGGGCAGTTTTTGAGTTTGGTAACTTTTCCAAGAGTTCTGAAATTGAAAAAAGAAGTTGAACCACGATATAAAAAATGCTTTTGGGTAGTTTTTTAATTTCCTTAAAAATTTTTTGACTCAAAGATTTTTCTGGGAAAATTCTTTTCCAGTTCTCTTAAAATTAGGTGTCTTGATTTTACGCAATAAATAAATTGAATGGTAACTAAACAACAAGAATTCACAAATAACATGAAAATAACAGGGAAAACTCGTTTAAAAACAGAAAAGTACTAAAGAAGCGTTGATAAATTCGATAATATTCAGTTTGTATCGTCCTCTTCTCATCATGAGTATCTCATGTTACTGAATTCCTAAAAATCCTAAAAAAAAACTACAACTGTGTTTGAAGCATTCAACGAACAAGTATTTCTCAAAAACGAGATAGAGGAGTTGATCTTCTTAAGCGGTACTACACTACAGTGGTAGGCTTTAACATTGGAAAATGCATTTTGAAGCTCACGCGAGAAACGCAGAATAACGGGCGGAACCGCATTTGTTGGCTAGGATTTCGGATTCGGAGGTCTGGGCGGCCCCAATGTAGACGATTCCAACAGCGTGGTTTTCGATAGCTGGCTTCTGTAAATTTTTTTCATGAAAACTACTCTAAGAAGCAAATAGGAAAAAAAAGCCGTTTATTAATGATAAATTATAGTCATATCGCGAGAGCCGCTTTTCAAAATAGCGTTAAAGGTACAAGTAGACGATCGGCTTTTAATGTTTCGATGACTCCGTCGGCGAGATAAAAAAAAAACGCAGGCGTGTGGTAGCAGCCGTGAAAAAAAGGGCTACACTCTCCATGAAGTTTCTGCGCAGGCCTCCACTTCAACTAACCATGTCCAAGATCCGGAGCGCCCGCTGCAATCCTTCCTGATCGCCGGGCCTAGTTGTCAGCTTTTTTGCGCCGCCCATTGTGTCAATGTGCTGCATGAGCATGCCGACGTCGGGTGGAAGTGACAGGGCTGAAAAAAGCAGCCAAAAATGAAAACTCTTCGTTGGTCAAACAAGTCTCAAAGTCGTGCGGCCATTCGTCAAAAGTCCGCATCATCCAACTGCTTTTTCCGTACATGTGACGGACGATTAACTGGGTGAAGTTCACCACGGGTACTGAAAGTTTCAATGATATTCAAAAAAAAAAAGTGAAAAAATTTCATTCAATTGTTTTCCAAAACTTTTTGATATACCATACCGATTTCTCTCGGAGGACTGCTGACGGTCGAATAAATGTCGTCAAGAGTTTTCCCCATATCGACCAGACTCTTTCTCTCTACTTTCTGGCTACTCGAGAAAGCTGACTTGTAACGTCTTCTCGTCTGAAAAGAATTTGTAAAAAGTGAAAGGAAATATGAAACATTGTGTTCAAGTTGATTTCGGCAATTCAAATGTTTTTTTAACTTTGCTGAAGTGTACTTTAGGACCCCCTGATTCCAGAAAAAGAAAAAAATTTCTCGCAATAGATCTCGTTTTCGAGTTAGGACACTTCAAAAGCCCGAAATAGCGCTTTTTTGGCCTAATTTGCGTATTTTGCACACTTTGAAGCTCCAAAACTCAGAAACAAGATCTTGCGAGAAATGTTTTTATTGTTCTGGAATCAGGAGGTCCTAAAGTACACTTAAGCAAAGTTTCCGCAAAAGTTCAACCGGGGGGTAAAAAAACGTTCCCTGGTCAGCACAAGATCCGCTACATTCTGAGTTTGTCAAGGCGCAACTGGGAGGTCTACTTGCAGAAGAACAAGGCGGAAGACCCTAAGACCATGCTTTCAGCTTGATCAACTACATGTTCGGACTTCTAGTTCGCCAAAAGTGGTTGTTCGATATAACTTTGAAAGTTCTTGTTCACCGCCTAGTCGATTAGATCTGACTAAAAAAAAAATAAATAAATGATTTTACTGAATGGATGGTCGCGTCTCCAGTTATTTTTTACAATATACTTACTCTCGCCACACATTCTTTCGAAGACGACAAAAACTGACCATTTCAAAAAATGATGTCTTCCTTGGCCTCGTCTGGGGGTCATTGAGAGACGATGAAGACGAGCAGTTGACGAGACATTCTTGACTTTCGCTCCGTACTGTGAAGTCCGGCTCTTTCTCTGCAAACGCTTGTTCAAATCATTCCACGCGACCTGAAACCTTCCGACGGCGAATTCGGCTTCTCAGCAATTGTCCTAACGGTTATGATGACATCGTTCAAGTAATAGTGCTCTTGGGTAGTTTCACACAACGGAGCTGGGGGCTATAAAAAGGAATTTAGAAAATAGGAATTATTGGGATATAACCACAGAATGTCCATGATTGTCATGGATCTTTGGCAGTTTGAAAAACGAGTCGAGGGCTTTTTGTATTTCGTATAGCGTCTAAATCGAGTGTTTGATAAAAAACAACAAAAATTTTCAGATTTCAAACTTGATTCTGAAGCTTCTCTTCTTTCATTTTCAGGGGCACACATTGATCGAGCGATTCACTGGATTCACTGTCGCGTTGGCCACCGACCATGAACAAATCACCAGGCACCTGAGAAGTTTTCTTCTTGGCGTTTCCGATGGGATTCGAGCTTGGAAAGTTAACAAAATAATCAAAACATTTAACTTTTGGTGAGCCGCAAAATTGGTTGGAGAGGTCATTAAAAAAAACCTTGAAGCTCTAAACGGAACTCCGATTTCTTTGCGTTTAATTGTATTAAATGTAGCATACAGAAAACATTTTTCAGAGTTTCCTATCAAGTGTTCTTCGTGTCTTTTTCGATAAATCGCTTCTTTTTCAGACCTGTCTGCCGTCTCCACTGGGCTTCCGAACAGCTTTCGCATCATCATCTTTCCCTACAGTCTGTACCACGGGCGAATTTTTGATCTTCTCGATGCATTTCTCCAAATGTCTGAAGTTTTTTGTACAAAATTCTCTTTCAATGTTGCAAATTTAAATTTTCAAAAAGAGCGACTTACATTCTGACGGAATGCTTCCACTTATCGGGAACCCGTACAAACCATCGCATCATGATCCGATGCATGGCTGACACTATGAAAGTGTTGAAGCGATGTACATTGGTATAGGGCGAGAGAATCGAGCAAACTTTCTTAAAATGCTCTTCCTACAAACCAATAAAGCAATGGATGTCGGAAAAGTTCATTCTAAGCACCTGGAAGAACTGATGAAATTCGACGACTTCTGCAGCGTCAGACAGCAGTTCCATTATTGGAATCGCGCGAACCTAAACTGATCCAATAAGTTCAAACCAGAAGCGGGCCAATATGGGCCCGACATATCCGAAAAAGACATCAACTATTCAATAAAATACACCAAAATAATCGAGAGAAAAAAACTAGCATTTGAAAAAATTGACCACTTCGCGGGGCGGGTTCTGGTTCGGCTTTAATTTTCAGCTCGAGATGGAACCCATTATTTATCAGATTTAGGAAAAGCCTAGAATGTCTTTGTTTTCTTTAATTTCAGCTTGGCACGCTTTTCGCACTTCGATTGAGAAAAATTCATCTTATTAAAGCTTAGTCTCTGCTCGACAACGATTTAAGAATGAAGAAGTTGTGGGATGTTAGGCCTAGATAAGAGTCTTCGTACAAAAAAAAAATTTAATTCTGCTGAACCGCACACGCAACCGAGAAAAAGTGCATGGTAGCGTTTTTACGTACTTCCTACACTTTGTATGTGCACACATGAGAATGCGGACTTTCACGGGCACTACTTTTTGGAAAAGAAAAAGTCGCGGTTGTCGCGACACCTAACTCACAGCAGTTGGTTGTAAGTTGAGTATGTGGTCTATGAGTCGATGACCGAGCCCCGACATGACTGACGGCACGAGTTGGATCGCGACGTCGCACGCCAAAATCGCCTGAAACAATTCCTCCTTGTCGGATCGCGTAAGAGGTCAAATCAGACCCTTCAAACATAGCCTATAGCTCACCTCGCAACTGCCGATACGTGCACATTCAATCAAAATCATGCAAATACTCCGTTGAGGCTGACGTTTTTCAGTGTATGTTAACTGAAAAAATCGAAAATTTTGTATTGACAGGATAAATTGAAAGTCTCACTGTGAGACAATACTATAATTACCTATTTTTTCCGACTCTTGTCTGAAAACCCATCTACAGCTTATATAACATTCGTATATTCATATGTACTGACCAGAGTGCTCAAAACCGGTGGCAAATACTTGACGAGCTCTTTTTGACAGTCGGCGTCCAACTCAAACCTCTTTGAGGATTGGTAGAACTCGATGAGCTTTCCAACCAAACCTTCTATCTGAAAGAAGATTTCGATTTCATTGCTGAAATCTCGACTCACATTGTGAACTTCAGCCGTTCGGATAGTCTCCGGATACTCCAGAATCCGACCAATCCTTTGAATGATCGCTCTGCCAACAGGCCACCTAAACATTGAAGAATGTCTTTTTGTTGAAACGCTAAAATGAATCAGTTGCTCCCTACGAACCACACATCGAATCGCAGTGAAAACTCGACGATGGAGCAAATTTCGTTCCAACAGAAGCCATCGACCAATGCACGAGTGTTGTTGGGGGCGTTGGCCGATGGTTTCGACGTGATTGGCGTGCGCCGGATTCTCGTATTCTCCACATATCTGTCTTCCTCGTATCTCCAGTGGACTGAAAGTTTTAATGAAGCGAGAAAATCGAGAAACTACATTCGAAATGAATTTCCAACTTTAATCTTCAAGTGTAGGATCTTTTCGCGTGATAAATTCTAAAAAAATGTGAGAAATAAACCAAAAACATGGAAAAATTGAAACAAAAATGAAATTTTTCGTTTTTTCGGAAGAAATTCCCCTCTTCTGTAAAAAAAATTTTTGATATTTAATGGCTTTGAAAAAAACGTTCACCGATGCAAAGGCTCGTCTTTCTGTTTTTTTACTCTAGCTTGAACTTGCTCATTTTCTCTGTTGAAAAAAAAAACTAACGTACTCAAGTTGTTCGATATAGGACAGCAATAAAAAGAGAGAAGAATTTCGAATATCCTGACTCGAATTTCTCCGCCATGAGCTCCAATCCAACCGGCGCTGTACTGCACGAACAAGTGGCTTACGAGAGCATCTGAAACGTTTTCGATCGAGCCAACTAGGCTAAATTTGAGAAAAAACGTTTGAAAAGCCATTTTGTACTTTGAGTACAAAGAAAATAAGTTAGTACCGAGAATAACGTTGAACATAGGAAGAGTAAAATGCTTCCATCTGCTTGAAATGACGTCTTGAATTCCAAGTACCAACACTTCCAAGTTTGAAAACGACAGCTCTGCAACAAGCATGGAATTTCCTTTTATAAACCGTTCCAAACGTTCTTCAGAAGATTTCCCAAACCGGACATGCTTTTCAGATCCACCGCGAGGCTCTGGCACATAGATAGTTTGCACCAAAATCAAGCGGAAGAAATTGCAAAGGTCCAGAAAAGGACCGCCGCTCGACATCGACACGACCCGCATCACATCAAGCATCACCGTTATCAAGTGATACTGTACAAAAAAGCTCAATTTTCGTGAAGGTGAGTCAATTTTAAATTTCTTAACTTTATATTCAATGACTAACTTGTACTTGCTCGTCCGTTTCGGCTTCCGTGAACCGAAGCATCGGAATGATAACCTCGTTAACAATTTCCTTCTCGGCAATATTCTTATACTTGAGGTAAAACTTGTGTACTTGCTCGACGACCTTGAAATGTATAAAATAAACAAAACCACTTGAGAAAAGAAAATATCGACCAGAAAAGTACGAGTGCCGCTTCTATCGAACTTTAGACTAAGCAACTGTTTGCATCTGTTCAGATTTCGAACGTCAAGCAGCAAACTCCGCCCCCAAAGACGCTCTGTGGATGGTTCGCTCTCTGATTGGTTTGATCTACGCATAAGGGGCGGAGTTTGAGCGATGAATTGACATTCAAAATCTGAATAGGCTATAAATCGAATTGAAAATATTGTAACTAATTTCAGAACATAAATTAAAACTAATAACCTGAACCCTTTTGTTGAACCCTATTAGAGTATATTTTTCTCAGAAAAAATGAAAAAGCCGAAATATTTTTTCACCTTATCCCTCCTGTAATGTCCGTGTTTGCGTCGCATAAATTCCTTGACGAGCTGAAACGCCTCATCCACAAAATTTCTCGAAGAAGGTGTCAACAACTGGAAAAGATGATTGAAAACTTTAAGTGGAAGGTCGAAAAACAGAAAATTTGAATTCGATGAGTGAAAGAACGCAGGTAGAGTCGATAGAGAAAATTCGAACGTATTTCTCAACTAGGGCATACATGAGATCCGGTTTGGCCAGAAGATGTTTGTCCTGAAAGTTACATACGAATGAGAAAAACTAGCTGAATCACAGACTTTGTGTAAACTCTCCATTACTTTGAACATTTCGTTGATAATGTATTCGCAGGCATCCAGGTATTCGACGTTCTGAACATTTAAAAAAATTTTAGGTGAAAATCTTTAGCCCCTCGAAAACATGAAAGGACAAAAAAATCGGAAAATTACAGTCATTTCGAAAAAAAAATCACATTCTCGTTGTTGCCAAGTATCGAAAAAGCTCAACACCAAAATGCAGAAATATGGAAATTTCTCGGAAATCAAGCATCGAAAAAATACGGCATGTTCTTAACCCGAGACTTGACAGAACTAAGAAAGAAGAACAAAAAAAAAACGAAATCAATAAAAAGACGACTCTCATCTCACACCAGAGGCCAGAATGCAGGAAACATGGTTTCCCGCTGTTTTGTGCTTCTTTTGTATTATTTTATTGCTAAATATAACTACGAAGTGACAAAACTAGACCGTGGGTTGTTAGGCCACGTCTCAACACGAAGAGTTATCCTTTTCAGGATGAGAAATCAAATACCGCGTTCCCAGGGATTGTTTTTTGAACCCCCTTTATGACCGCATTTTCTTTTTTCATATCTACGCTGGCGCACGTGTTTGAGCTGGTCAAAATGCGAGGAAACGGAATTCCAGAGAATGAGAGAACTTCTGATGCTCTGGAGGTTCTTCATGCATGCTTTTGATCTAACGCCAGTAAAAAAATTGTCGCTTCGCCTTTTTACAGCCTTTGGTGATGAGCAGCACCTCATGACACAGATGAAGAAGCTTTTGAAGAACTTCACTGATACAGATCCACGTCGCAGGCTGCAAAATCTTCCCGTCGTTGATCATCAGAACGAGAATTGCCGCTAACACATCTAAAATCAAACCATCTGAATATAAATATAAAAACGGAAAGATACCCTCGGCAATATTAATATCCCGGTCCAACAAATTGCTCATACGGTTGATTATCGACGTTGGAGATATCTTCACATCGTTGTCGATTCTCTGCAAAACTCACGATTATTTCTGGATTCCGCAATGTATTCATTTTTCCAAGCGATTAAGAAAGAAAAACAAACATTCGTGCTCCAAAATGAGTTGGTCAGACAGTAGACGACGCCTCGTTGCACACGACAAAGCTTATCGAGATCGATTCTTTTCTGTGCTGCTTCCCACTCCAAGACATCCAACATCGACGCCAGCGATCTTAAACTTTTCAATTTTTTTATAATCAAATCAACTATTCAGGCTCATCTTCTTTCTGTGAGACATGGCGTTTGCCTGATTTTAAACAAGAAAGATCTTTCTTTAACTTAATTCATGAAAAAATAGAAAAAAAAAATGACTAGTTGATATAAATGCATGATTCCTAGCTTTTGCGGAATGCATATGGAAAATTCCCCGGGCAAAATCGCAATGGTGAATAATGGCCGCTAAAAGAGATAGGCTTGAGGAAAGCCGCAGCAAGACAGCAAAAATTGTCCCTTCATCAAGACTTCCATTTTTTCTGGAATTTCAAAGGCTCGAGAAATGGTGGAAAGAGGGAGAGGCAGCAAAAAAGGAACCATTGTCACCCTGAAACTAAAATTTCTATGGAGCCTCTTCCCACCCTTTCCGACTTTGCCTATTTTACTCTTTTTATTTCGAAAAACCGAGTTTGTGCATTTATCTGGATCTTCATTGACTGAAATTCCTTAAATACTACAGTAAAGAGTAAAATCTATATGAAAACCCATTATTTATTGTTCTAATGGGTTCAAGGAAATTTCCGAAGACACCCCAAGCAGAAATTGTGATCAACATCCTTGTGTGCGCTCACAATTCTTTTTCCGTTCAATTATTGTGACGTTCAAACAGATTCAAGCTTTTTCTTCCCGATAAATCAAAAAAGAGGAAACCTCAAGCCATATTGAGACGTTAGGAGCGTTCTGGTCAAAGCGTAGGCGATCGGACGGATTTCTCGGTTGCTCACTAGGTGACAAGCCGTCAGAACCAGTTGCAAAATACCCAGTTCGTGCGGAACTTCACTAAAACCGACATAGTTTAAAAAAAACAAAAACATTTAAATAAAAAAGTTTACTTATCGTTCTTTCTTTTTCCTGCTTTTCCTCTCAATCTCAATGCTCTTCTCTATAGTTAACAACAACTCCTAAATTATTTTTAGCTACTAAATTTAAAAAAAGCCTATGATTTCTAGAATATTTTAATTCAGACTTGCATTTGATCTGGAATTTTTCGTCAAATTCGGGTCGCGTACGCAAAAAGTCATTCTAGTAGATCTGATCAAACCGCCTTCGAAGTTAGCACTATAGCACTTTCGCAAGTCTCATGAGGATGCTGCACGGTCAAACAACGCGAAATTTCTAAAACTTTGATAAATTCGTCACTTCTTTTGGTTCTATTTTTCCTCCATTTTTCGAGCTTCATGTTTTCTAATCTCACTCTCTGAAGCTGCGATCTTCTCTTGATCTTTCAACTTTGAAACTTTTTTTCTTTTCATGTATTAACTTTTGAAGCCTTGAATGCCCAAAAAATTTTTAAAACAACGAACTGGAACTTCAAAATGCTCATGAGAACGTCGACGCAATCGGATGTCAAGGGAGTTACTTTCGAATTCGCTCGAAGACAGGTCTTAAAAGATAAAGTAAAATTCGAATATAGAAATAAGGCTGTGTTAAAAGTAATTTACGCGAAGTTCAAAACTAGGTATGTAGTTATCTCTCCACTCTCTGGCGGCTATTTTGAATTTCGCGCAATCACTCTGAACACGGTCTGAACTGTCGGACCTGCGTCATAATTTGGGCAATGTTCTTCTTGGATATGAAGGCCGCGTTGAACCTTGAACAAAAAAAATTGGAATACTGATATTCAGATCATACTTGATGTACTGATGAGCAAGTTGAAGAACCAAACTCGGCCAACTCTCGTCTTCCTTCACATTCACGTCGACGGCGCCCAAAACCCAACAAGTGATCATATCGTCCATCATCTTCCAAGACAAAAGAGTTTGAAAATGAAGAGCTTATTTTACCGGCTCGAAACCTTCCACGTTCTTTCCATCTTCAGTCAACGCGTTCAGCCACTTCACAGTCGATTCCTGACAGCCTACGGCCCTAATTGTCTGAAACCATCGTTCAAAGCCACAAGTCGGTGGAAGAACAAAAATCGAAAATTCGAAAAAACTGCTTTCTTGTTTTTTTTTTCGATTTTTTTTCCTTATTTGCCAAAAATTATGCCTTTTTAAAATTATTTCGCCAAATCAAGATATAAAAATTGAAATTTTTTCGAGAGGGGCAGTTTATGTTCAACTATCTAGCCGGATGGGTACATAGACTGACGCCTCACAACAAAAAATAAATAAAAAGAAGATTTTCACCTCGAAAAAAGTTTGACGGAGGCCCATGCCAATGTGGTTGAACTGCGAGTGCGTCAGCTCGATCATGACCTGAATGAGCGGCTCTCTCAGTTCTGGATCGCATATCATGTCGCGAGTCTCGTGCCATATCCCTTCTATTGTCGAAACTTGAAGCGTTCGCTTTTTTGCTACCTAAAAAATAGACGTTTGGAAAATTTTCTAAACTGGCAATACAAAATTTTCATTAATAAGAGTGTGAAAAAAAGCAATCCACATAAGCAAGAGTTACGAAAGAACAGGAAACTCTGAAATTTGATTGTTTTATAGTTCTTCCAAAGAGACTTTTTTTTCGTAGGAAGTTGCTAATTGGAAGTCAAACAATTGAAAGACTTTTTTCCTAAATACGCAAAGTTTTCATTTCAACTAGTCAAGTTGTTAAAAGTAAAAGTATCGAGAATCTTTTTCCGATATTAAGATGTTGTTCTAAACATTAGTAAAAAAAAACTGAAGAAACCCTTTGAAGGTTGTGGCCGGGACACCAAAAAAAGCTACGAAAGGGTCTCTTTTCTATTGAAAAGTTTTCGGAGGACAGACTTATCCTACTTTCAGCATATAAAAGTCTCCATGTTAGTAACTATGAACATTGAGTGGGAGATCTTAGTCATTAATTTAACATCTTAAACTTCATAATCATATTACAGTTATCGTAAAAAAGTTTATATGTACGACTTTTTGAAAAAACTTGAAAACGAGTTTTTGAAAGATTGATAGGTGGATTTATACTTATGTGAAGAGCTGTATTGACGCTTTAACCCAAGAAAATTTGAAATGGTTATTATTCTATTAATCTTCTAAATAAACTTTTTTTCAATATATAATACCTCAATTTGATTTATGTTTGAAAAAAGGATGAAACCCACAAAACAACACAAACCATGCGGGTGCGTGAACATTCTTTGAAAAGTCGTGGACGTCGAACGGCGCGGATTCGTTCAAACAAATTAAAGCCTTTGGACTGAAAAGTGCTAAGCGGAATACATGAACATGAAGGAAATTGTCCAATGGGGTTTGCAATGGAACATCTTTCAAGATAAGTTCGAACCGAAACCCTTCGAACACATGTTCTTTTTTCTTGCGTAAAAAATACTCTCAAAGAAACGCGTCTAAACGGCCTTTTCGAATTGATTTTTTCGATATTCTTGCAGACCCCCAATGAACATGTTCGGTTTAAGCGGAAACAGATGGTGCGAATAACATTTGTGACTGCAATACCATACTTGAGCTTTTCGGAAGATTTCTGTTCACGATTTTACGATTCGTAAGCTTTCATACATGCGTGTTATATGCAGAAGCGGTAACCAACGGGCTTATCCACACAAATTTCATATAAATAAAAAAATCTGTAAAAATCCAGATTTTATTCTGAATTTCCACATCTCCAGTAAAATTTTTAAACTTTCTGTGGCTCTAAAAAAGTGAGACTTGTAAATATAAACTTTCTGCTTCAAAAAAAAAAACCTCAAACTCCAAAAAGATTGTAAGGCGAATTTTCGAAAAAGGTGGTACGAAGTTGCCGATTGCGAACTAATCGTTTTAAATTTCGGACCGTGATGCGATTAAATACCCTAATGTTTTGTTGGTTTTTTCGGTGTTTCTCTTCTTTCTGGCTTAATGTAGACACAGAAGAATCAAAAAAGAACTTGGTATTCTGCAAATCCTTTGCCCAACACAAACAAGAACCTTAGGATCTGAGAAGAATCCTGTTTACTAATACTAATCTTTATAATTTTAACTAGGGGACGTTTTTTACCCCCGGTTAAACTTTTGCTGAAACTTTGCTGAAGTGTGCTTTAGGATCCCCTCATTCCAGAACAGAAAGAAAATTTCTCGTAATAGATCTCGTTTTCGAGTTAGGACACTTCAAAAGCCCGAAATAGCGCTTTTTTGGCCTAATTTGCGTATTTTGCACACTTTGAATCTCCATAACTCGGAAACAAGATCTATTGCGAAAAATATTTTTCTTTCTCTACAATCAGGAGGTCCTAGAGTAAACTTCAGCAAAGTTTCAGCAAAAGTTCAACCGGAGGGTGAAAAACGTTCCCCGGTAAGTAAATTGCCAAAAGAAGACACATGAAATGAGAACATTCAAGTGAATCAAAGTCCAAAATTTAAACGATAAAGTCTTCGTGCTACCGAAAAAACTCTGATCAGATTTTTTGTGTGGATAAGGTTTTTCAGGTTTCAACATAGTATTTTCCAATTTGTGGTGGTTTGAGGATATAAAAAGCACAAAAAAGATGAGGATAAAAAATGCGAAACAATACTCAAACGATAAATTGCTTCGAGGAACTTTCATGCTCTTTTTGAGCAATCCTTAAAGGAATTTCGAACAGACACTATAGTAACACCGACCGTAAAAGACAATCTACTAAAAAACCTGCTGCAACTGTTTGAGAGTTTGAACTCGTAGAGATGCAGCACTACCGGGGCCCATGCTCGTCCAAGCCGACGCGGTGATGCTCCCTTCCGTTGTCATGAAGTCTTTGAACTGCTCCTGAGAAATTTGTCTATCGGTCAGAGAAAGTTTCATTTCATGGGGAGTCATTTTCCGTGTAGGTTTCACAAATGTCTACAAGATGGACCGTTAATCGATCCAGTTTAGTCGCTATTTGCAAAAACTCCTAGTTTTAAATGCACGATTTCCTAAAACTTTTTATCTTTATACCCACAACCTAGTCTTCAAGGAATCTGACTGTACCGAGAGAAAGATTGCTCGGCAATTGGAAGGGTGGTGCAGTGGGTACGCGGCAGTCTACGGAGCCTATGTTGAAGGTTCAAATCCTTCTGTCGTTTTTTTTTTTGCCAATCCTTTCTTGAAAAGCATGAGAGCTTCATGACTGAAAACGCTCCAAAGAACTTCGACAGCCATTTTTGTTCCATCGAAATTACCACTTTTTGTGTGTAAAAGTTACGAAAAACAAAATTTGTTTGAAACGTTTTCAGTCATAAAATTTTCATATTTTCATCATAACTACTCCGATACTTGGCACAAAAAAAGTAGAGGATGCGAACCATCACCATAGGCTGTATAGACTATCGTGAGAGCCACTCTGCCACTCTCCCAACTTCCACGCATTGGTCGCTGGCTCGAAAAAACTTTTTCTATTAAAGACATTTCAAAAATGAAGCCGAAACTGAAATATTACACAGATAGAGTCTATGCGAGTTCGTTTCCCAATTTATAGAAAAATGCTTAACCATACTAGTTGAAAATTCTAAGATTTACGCTCAAATGAACCCCTGTGTTAAAATAGCCGACAATTTATTTAAAAATGGGTGTCTGCGCTTAACCGTTTTTCTCTCTTGATTTTAGGAAAAGTTACATTGAAAATTAACAATTATTCTTGGTTTGCTGATACTGTTGACCATAGAAAAAAAAAATTAATTCGATAGTTGACAAAAAATAAAATTTTTTTTCAATTTTTCCACTTATTTCAGTACTTTTTTTCATTGAAAGGTCGCGAACGAAAGTTCTGAAAGCAGAAAATGGAAAAATAGTCACTTTCTCCTTGTTGTTTGATCCGAAAAGACGAGAGAAGCTGAAAAAGCTTCGGACAGGCGAACTAGTGCCGACGACGGCGATCGGCGAAGAAACGGCACTCTCCGCACATCTTCCATCTTCTGCATCCTCGCTCTCGACCTCCGGATGAAGCACGGCTGAACTCATAATGGAAAAACAGTGAATCGCTATGAATTGTGACTATCTGTGCTAAAGGAAATTCCTAACCAGGGGGTTCATCCGGGGTATAAGGCTGATTGCGGCTTTGCATCGCCGCTCATCAACTGTGACTATGCAGATGATTGCTCTTCCAGTATTTTATCCCGTGTCTGAAAAAATAAAGACATTTTTCCTTCACTTTCACCACATGAAGTGCTTTTCAAAGAAACTCACGAAAAATCAAAAAAGACCGAAACTATCTCGAACGAAGCAGAGAGAAAGAAAGCAAGAGAATTTCGTTAAAGCGAAGCTGTGCATCATATATAACGACTCCCCGAGTGATTTAGAGACGGTTCTGCATCTCCAGTTTATCCCCGATGAAGAAGCGACACCTCGGGCAAAACTGAAAAGATCCCCAAAAGCTTTTCTCAAAAAAAGACCTTGAGAGGGTCCCCAGCAGATCTTTTTTACATCATTTCAATTCTTTTTTGCATCTTTTTCATATCCTCTGACAAAAAGGATGCTGGAAAGCAACTAAAAAGATCCGAGAGGTTTCAAAAAGGATCCTCTGAGGCTATGAAAAAGGTGCTCAAAAGCTTTTTTACATCATTTTAGGAGCTTTTAGAGGAAGCTTTTTATCTCCCTCTCAGGATCTTTTGAGGATCCTCAAAGGAACTTTTCAGTTTTACCTATGACATTTCAAGTGAAAACTAAATATCAAAAGATTTCGAAACGGTGAGCAAGCAACACCACCTACTCTGAAATGGTGCGCCAGAAGGGCGCCGCAACTATTTCTCTGACATACACTATTTCGTCGTTTTCTGGCAGCCTCTTGGCGCTCCATGTCAGAGTAATGTTATATATGGACCATGCCGCAACGAAATCAAAGCTTTGCCGCGGAGAAGTTTGTTGCCTCCCACCCACTGCGAATTATAAGGGGCACACAAGTTACAAAACTGACTTTTCTAAGGATTTTAGTTAGTGACCACTCCAGGGGTTAAGGCTAGTACTTTATTTTTAAGAACTGTTGAGAGAACCCAAAACCTCTAAGGACCAGATGTGGTAAAAAAAAATTGTACACATTTTTAAATATCGAATTTATTGCCGTTTTCAAAGTAATTTCCGCGAAATGCAAAATTATCTCTGACTCTCCAAAATCTAGTGATCTTTTTTTGAAATCTAGTGATTTCTTTCTCTGACGGCTTTTTGATTTCGCGAAAAAACTTTGAACACGGTATAAATAAAGAGCGAGTCGAGAGTGTAGCTCTTAAGTGACCCCTTAGCAATGCAGCTCCTCCGCGCACACTTTTCCTTCTTCGTTTTCGTTTTCGTTTTCATTTTTTTGTTTTTGTTTTTTTGTTTTTGTTTTGCCTAGGGCCTAGGCTTTTGCAATGAGGGCCGGCCCGTCGGTCTATCGGCTTCCCAATTTAAGGCCGTGATCAGAGGCTCCGCAAAATTTAAATTTATCTCTGAACCTCCTAAATTTCATGTTTCACTCTCTGACGGCCATTCTGAATTTTGCGGAAATTACTTTGAACACGGTATATATAAACCTGATTGTAAAGTTAATAATTTTTAGTCCATAATTTTTAGCAAAATATTAATACGTTTTAAAACAGTTCCGTACCCACACACGAATAGAGCAGAGGTATAGTAACAGTAGTTTAAAAAAGTCGATTGTCTAAAGAATAACGATAGTACAGCGACTATTTTTTGCATAACTCTAGAAAAATGCGATACACTATCGGTATAGCTCCGATAATGTTGAATTTTAAACTTAAGGTATGCATATTGTTTTAATATCTTGATCCATTTTGAGGCATATTCTCGATATACTTTTATGAGCTGACCCTTATTCGTCTATTTATCCGGTTCATCACATTACAGAATGCAAACTACTTATTGGTCAATTGACTTTTGATAAATCAAAGTAATCCTAATTTGAAGCTGATTCCTTTTAAATTCCATCATCCATTCTTGAAATCGATTTGTCTCTCATATGTTCTTTTCATGAAGCCTGCACGTGACTTGAAATGAACGCCTTGCCTTGGTTAAACCAATCTTGTTGTCTTGCACACTGGAGGGCCTCTGCGTTTCTCCCCTCTAAAATTTGGTCATTGGTGTTTTTCAACGTAAATAAACAACAACTCATGTTGAAACACTATATTTTCATTTCCTTTTGAGGTTTAGAAGTTAATTTTTCACATTTGAATATTTCAACTTATTCAAGAGCTTGATGACAGTTTTTTTTTATCGGACCATATGGTGAGAAATTTTTTGAATTTTGATTCTGTTTTTACTCGCGCAAAACGGAAAACCTACTCAAAAAGACCATTTAGGCATAATTTTAATCTCATTTAATTTCATATCTCCTTTTTTTTCTTATATTCTATAACAATGAAGAGGCTGAGAAGCAACTAAAAAAAATTTCGAGAGGATTCAAAAAGGATCCGCACAGGCTATGAAAAAGGAGCTCAAAAGCTTTTTCACATTATTTCAGGAACTTTTAGAGGAACCTTTTTTAGCTCCTTCTTAAGATCCTTTTACGATCTTTAAGAGAACTTTTCCGTTTTACCTATGTATACCAGAGCTATGACAATTAAGATATTATGATATTATCCTGATCGATTTTGATGTATATGCGGGGTATACTTTTATTAGCTGACTCTGGTTCGTCTATTTATACAGTTTATAACATTACAAAGTTCAATTCACATATTAGTTAATCTTCTTTATTACTTCAACACTATCGGAGCTATACCACTAGTCTATCGCATTTTGCTAGAATCGTGTAACGTAGTACCATCGTTAGGCTCTAGACCCTTCGATATACTACTGGTACTGCGGCGATACTCCTGCCCGATCCTTGTGTGTGTGACTCTCAAACGGAAAGAAAAGGTACATTTCAGCCATGATTCTCTCTTCATCAATGGGTAAATTGGCGCTTCGATCCGCTGTTTTTCTTCGAAGAACCACGTCGACCCACGGTTCCTTAGCGCCCACAACTGCGAAGTCGTCAGGCATTCAGAAAAGAAAAGACGACGAAATGCTTGAAACCATCGACATTGAAGATTTACCGCGCCCTCAACGGCGCTTCGCCAAGCAGTTCGAGAAAGTCAACGAGGAACGCGTCAAGGAGATTTTCGCCAAGAATTATAAAAATCACATCGCCCTCGCCGTTTTACTCTCTTTTGTTGTTGGCATCTATTATTATACCATTTACGCAGTGAAGCAGGAGACGTTCCTCGAAGAAATCGATCGTGAAATGGCTCAAGAAAAACCGAGAACACATGGTCACTTTGCTAGTTCTGACAAATGATTTATATTCTTCATATTTATCATTATAAATATCTCTTAGGATTTTTTGGCTTAATAGAAACTCAGCTTCTACTTTGAATTTTTGAAGTTTAACCTTTTTTATTCTGCCGTCACGAAATAATTATTGAAAAGCAGTGTCTGGGCTAAATTTTCAAGGATTTTTTTTTCAATCTCTATCACTGGTCGTCGTTGTTCACTGTTACGTTGTTTTCTCGATATCTTTCTGATTTGTTTCTTTCATAAACCGCAAATTAATAAAAAAAAACTTTAGAAATGAATACGGAAGAAGCGATAGTACCCGACGAAGAAGAATCTTTGAAGGAACACTTGAAGGCACAGAGAGACGAAATCCAAAGACAGTTGGGCTGCGAAAAGCTGCTATTAGAGGAAGAAGCGCCGCTTCGCGGAGATGTCCCGGATCCGCAGGCCGAAAACGGCGATGAGACGCCCACTGCACAGGTAGTATCACGATACGCTTTCAAAATAAAGATTATGAAATTTCAAATTTTTGCCAGATACTCGTTTTAAGCTTCGTTCTTTTAAATTTTCTATTTGAAGAAGAAGTTTATTATTTTTGTCAAAGTCAATTTTGGTAAGATCTGGAACTCTGAGAAGTTTTTGGGGTATTCGAAAATAAGGGGCAATTAATTCTTCGGGTTCAAAAAACTTCTTCTTTTTTTCTCATGGTCAACATGTCTGCGCGATATCACCAATGATAAGAGTTGATAATAGTTGTCCCATTGACAGTTTACTTATCAGCACTTCTCTCTGTAACGCATTTGCACTATGCTGAAACCAGATCTCCAGAAAAAATATCCTGCTCCGAAACTCAGAAATGCAAGTGCTTTCAGAAATTGTTTTTCGAGGCGAAATTTTTGTGTTTTTTTGTTTTCTTTTGATTCATTGTGTTTTGGGAATCTATCCAAATGTTCAGCTGATAATGTGTATGATGAAAGTTTTTTAGCCATATGATTTTTTTTTTCGAAGTAAGTTCAAATCTGTGTTCGAAAAAATTAAAATGTAAACGTAAAGTTCTGACTTCAGTGGGGTTTCAAAGAGCTGTACGCCTAGTGCCCGCTCGTAAAAACGAGTATCTAAAGTTACCTCGGACGATGATAACATAAAATTGCCTTATTTTCAGTTTTTACACTCGGTTTGAGTGTCTTTGTGGAATAAACGAGTAGGTCTAAAATTTTAAAGTGTCTAGAGATGACTATTCAGCAAGGTTATGCGTCAAAAAAGCAGATATTTACTATCCATGTCACACTTTTTTTTACTTCTTGGGTTTCGTCAGGAGTTATTTGAAGGTTTTTGGCAACATAGAAAATCAAAAACTGATTTAAAAAATCTAAAAAAAATCTTGCAATTATTTTGTGAAAAAATTGACCGAGAGGAACAAAAAAAACCTCGAAAGTTTTCACTACAGTGTGGTTTTTTTAGAATCAAGGTTTTTCAGGTGCCGACGAGCGGTGAGAACGGCCTTTTGACGCAAGAGACGAAGCCCGCGAGGCCGTTTATTCTTCCAGACAGCGCCGTCGTCAATGCTTCCGACGGCCTAAACATCCCTCCAGGGGCCACTCCGATCTCAGTCGCCTCACCGAGATCCGCCGTCAGTCCGCTACCCAAACAGCCGCCCTCGACGCCGATACCTCCTGTTCGAAATAGAAAAAGAAAAGTTGGTTTTTTACTGTTTGTATCAAGGTATAGTCTTCACCTGAATTGAAGCATCCAAATAAAAGAAATCTGTCTGCGCAAAAGTTCCCTGGTAAGGCATTTGAAGGCGTAAACGTTTTTTTTCTACCTAAAAAGAAACTGAAAGCAGTTTGAATCGTCTGTTGCGAAATAAATCCTTGCTAGCGCCTGGAATGCTTTGATTGTTGAGCGACGGAATACAAAAAAAAAGCGAAAGGCGAAAGTTCAAATGCAAACAAGATGCGTCATTGCGGCATTGTTTCGCATGTGGCGATTCCATGTCGCGGCCTCGTCTCCGACAAAAACTTCCTCGCAAGGAGAGCCGATCTCAGAGCTTGCCTCACGGGCAACACAGAGTCTCCGAGTCGAATTTGTCCATTGAGAAAGGCTCCATTGAGTTACAAGAAGCTATTTGCTTGAAACTCTTTGAAAGTCGAAGTTTTGAAAATGCGAAACGCCAGGTAGTTTTCCTGCACATTTCTACAGTTTTTTAAATTTTTTGAAACACCGTTTCGAATTTTCAGGTGACCGAATTGAAATGCTCTGAAGTCCGATGGTTCTACCAAGAGCCCAAGGGATCTTCTTGGATTCCTTTCAACGGTTCATTTTTTTCATTTCTTTTCCGTGAATAATATTGGATTTAGGGAGAGATTCGCTGCTTTTGGAATTGAAGTTTCGGAAGGAGAAAAATATCGAGCTTGATGATCAAATGAAAGCTATTGAGGCTGAAATGCCCCCGATCGAAGTTTCGGATGGAGAGAGCGAAGAAAAGCCGATGGTCGTCGTTCAAAATGGACAATATCGGTAAAACAAAAAAAAACATATCTCTCTCTCTCTCTCTCTGTGATAAAGCGGTTCTCCTTAAACTAAAAATCGAATTTTCATTTTGTAGTTTCTATGGCGCTTTTGTTCTTTCGGTAATAAGTTTTTTTCAAACTGCTGAAATTCAGATATGAATTTTCAGCGGTTTTGTTAAAGCTATCACTCTCGAAACTTTCGCATTAGTTCGATAACTGATTTCATTGCTAATTGTTGAAAAAAACTTTTCGAGGCTAGGAAAATCGTTCTCATCGAATAATTGAGTTCCACATGATGCTGCCGAAAAGAAAAAAATAAATGAGCTTCAGAGTTGACGACGAAAACATGAAGATCATCCCAATCTATTGGAAAGATGACACGAAGGAAATTCGCCGTGGAACTTGGTTTTCTCATGTATGTTGCCGTCTCTTTTTTATCGTCTAAGTTCCTCGGTTTTAGGATTATCAACCCATCGAAATGCAACTGAGCGACCAAATCGAACGCAACCACTTGCAGTATTTCCGGGGACAAACCATCCCCGAAGGAACGACTGTTTTCTCCAAGGCGGAGAACAGCAACAAACCAGGTGCACATGGGTTCTCTTAGAATTTGACTCTCAATTTTTCTTTTCAAAACACCTTATAGAACGTGTGAATATATTTCAGTTCTTGCTGAGCTTCATACCGAAACTTATGACGTCCGGTGGAGCTCCGTCATTGACATTAGCTTGCACCAAAGAAGTAGTAACATTTTGAGGTGACTGGAAATGTTTTCTACTCTCAACAAAACAGTCATTAACAGATACTTGTGGGCCAAATCGCATTCTTTGCGGCGAGGCTATGAAAAAGAAGCGGAATGGACTGATTCTTCGGCTGAGGTATGAGTTTTCATTTTATTCTTTCGAAGGAATGTTTTGAAGATTTCTCACCTGATCTTGGTTGTTCATGGTATTGGACAGAAAGGCTACGAGAACCTGATTGCACAAAACGCGAACCAGTTAGCCAACATGTTGAGAAGTGCCTTCAAAATGGCTTTCTAGGGTTCGCGATGGAGTGGTGTCTGCTATGGAAAAGTGTTATCCGGATGAAAAATCGAGGCCCATGTTTCTTCCTGTCGAGTGGCGCGCCTCTTTAGTATTGGGTTCGTTTTTCGCACTTTCTGACGACAAATTTCTTCCATTTTTCCGTGCCTAAAAAAATTTCGACTCTTTTTCTTTTTTATATTCCAAATAACGTTTAGATATGAGAAACCAAGATGTAATTTATACAAGAATAATAAAAAATTTTGTAAATTCTTCATCCTATTTACCTCAGTTTATTTCTTCTTTTTTTTTCTGCTCATGGATCTTGGAAATTTTTTCCGAGCTTGCATTTGAACGGGAAGCTGTTATTCATTCAAAAAAACGAGATTTTAATTAATAGAAGGTTTTTTGAAAAGCGCTAAAAGGAAAGCTGCTCTTGTCTATTTTTTTTTTGAGATCATCAAAAAACTGTTCAATTTTGCAGACAATGGAGTCACGGATCTTCTAACGATTCCGAAGATGAGCTCGATGCGAGCCTCATTGAACAGTACGGCAATGGACGTCATGTATTACCAGAGTCCGCTTTTCAGAACGGAGGTCTGGAAATTTTCGACTTTTCATATTCTCAATCGATTTTTTTCTTAGATCGTCCGAGGGGTGGTAACCCAGATGAACCGTGTTTACAAGCTATTCAAAGCCAACAATCCGGATTTCAAAGGACATGTCTCGATTTTCGGCCATTCACTCGGTTCTGTCATTTGCTACGACATCTTGACAAAGTTTTCGCCATTGGTCCTCTACGATAAATATGTGACGAAATCTGTTGTCAGTTTGGATTCCAATGGTCTTCTGTTCATCTTTTCATCTTTCAGGATGAATTCCTCGACGGCGTCAAGGATGATCCTTCTTGCCAGAAAGCACGAGAAGCTATGGAAACTTTGAAGGAAGCCCGTCAAGCGTAGGTTTTGCAGAATTTCGGTAGAGACCGCAAATCAGTTTTCTGATCTCATACAATTGCTTCACTTTTCGTTATCATCTTATTTTTAAACGTTTAGTTTAAAGGATTAGGTAGCAAAGCGAAAAAAAAAACTTTGAACTTTAATTTTTGTTTCCACACCGTCACAACTTTTCAGAACTAAACATTTCAAAGAAACTTTTATTTGTTTTACTGGAACTTCCGAGCGCTATTTGCATCACGTTTTAAGTTTTAAAAATATTATATGCGTTACCACGGCACGTTCATTAAGGCCTCTATGGTCTCTAAAGCGAGTTTTTAATTTACCAATCACCGGAATCAGATCCCTTGCTATTTTTTATGTCTCTAGCTAGTAGTGAACTTTGCACTTTTCATTGAGAGTTTGCTCAAAGTTCTTGTTTTTAGAGTTATCGACAACCTGGAAGGTGGTATGGAGAAGCTGCTGGTTACGAAAGAAGAACAGTTAGATTTCAAGGTGAAATCGCGTTTCAACCAGAAATCAGGCTACTAAACAAGTAAATTGTAGGTGAAGTACTTATTTGCTGTTGGAAGCCCTCTTGCCGTCTTCCTGGTCATGCGAAATGCGAATTCCTCCAACTTGATGCCGTCCACGACGAACGTTTGATGGATTTTCAACGGAAAATGAAAAAATGTTCCTATTTCTTAGGTTGATCGCATCTTCAACATCTTCCATCCTTACGACCCAGTCGCTTATCGCTTGGAGCCATTTTTTGCCCCCGAATACCGACATATTCGACCGCTGAAGCTATTTTCTTCTACTGACTTGCGAGGTGCCCCCTAAATTTATAAAGTAGATCACACTTTCACTCTCAGGAAGGGCTTCCTATGACTCTTTACCCCTGGAAGTTTACAAGCAGTACATGAAAAAACTGAAGAACCAGAACAAAAAGAAAAAGGGCGATAGTGGTGGCGACAAATCGGTTGGTTTTTTGCGATTTGTTCGATTCATATTTCATCCGGATGCAGGTTGATGCGAGAAGTGGAGGCGATGACGAAATCGACGAGGAGGACGAGTGTGATTCTGACGACGATGCTCGCTCTGGATGTTCGATTTCTCTTCTTTTGAATATACTTTACACCTGGTTAAACGCATTTACCGCATTTAACTTTTACCCAGAATTGAGAAAAGGCCAAACATTGCAAGTTAATTTTGAAAATTGTCACAACCCTGTGGGAGAGACTCTTATAGAATTTTATCTTTAGAGGGACACTTATTTTTGACTTCTGTAGAGCAAGTTAGAGACATTTACAATTTTTTGGATAAATTACGGTAAAAGCATTTACTGCTTTCCTGCATACGGCATCAGATGTAGAACGTTGCGATTGGTACGTATTCAAATCTTTCAGGCAGCTCGCCACGATCTTCGTCGCCGCCACCTGGCGAAAATGGCAAAGATGCGAAGGAAGCGAAAGCCAAAAAAGGCTGGTTTTCGTTTGGATCGACGGCCTCGAAGAAGGCCGCCGCCACTGTTCCAGAGGCCGTCGTCGAGGTCGCTAAAGAAGCCGAAGTAAGAAACAACAATAAGGAGAAAATTAAATTTCGAAAATTTGTTACAGCAAGAACTGCCTCTGCCTGAAAGAATTCTGGGCGGTGCGACGAGAGTTCCTCACCGCATCGATGTGCAATTACAAGTGATTTTTTTCGTTTGACTTCTTGTCAGAATAGCTCGGAGAATCATCAAAATGCTGGCTTTGAATACATTTATTCTTCGTGACATTTGGTTCGAAATTCGAAGTTCAAATTCCTTTTACGTAATTTTGAACCCGTAGCCATATTATTCAATCTTCTCATCGATTCTTTGCAGCCGGCACTGACTGACAAAAGCTACTGGTCGGTGTTCAAGAGCCACTTTGCCTACTGGACAAACCCGGACCTCGCATTGTTCATCGCCAATGTCCTTTACTGCAAACCCATGAAGCCGGAGGAGGCAAAGTCTTCATGGGCTTGAATATATCGGTCCAAGTTGCTCTGAACACGGAACCGTCGAACTTTTGGGAAAACATTTCAAGGAAGCTTTTGTACGTTTTTTTGCTTCTTATTTTTTGTGTACATATATGTCTGTCAGTACTCTTGATACGATTTTCCGCACCCTGACTCTCATCGTCCTCCGTTCTATTTACACCCTGTCATGCTTAATCGCCTTTTTCCGCCTTTAATGTATCCACTAACCTTAGTCATGATACTGTGATACATGTAGATTTGGATGGTCTACACATTTTCTCTTGATGTATTTTGAGCCTTTTATTCGTAATTTTAAACTTTCTAGTCGATTGCTTCCGATGTATATTTTCTGAACCACCTGTAAACAACTAAGGAACTTTTATATTTTTGGGGTTTTTTTTTTTCCTTATACACAACTTGGACTTTGGGCATCTGGATACTGTAGACGAATTCTGTGGTGTGTAGTTTTCTCATTAGTTATCTATCATAATATTCGGTTCAAAAATGGCCGAGTTTCCGATTTGAATTATTCCTGAAACTAAAATTTGGTCTCGCTGTTTTTGAATTGTTCGTGCAGGACACTCTGTCTCATATGTGGTTCTTCCCCTGGGTCAAAAAAAAGTTTTAAATGGAAAGTTTATTTGTTCACGCGTTGATTTTATGGAATGCATACGTAAATGAAGTTTTCCTGATAAAATTATTTTCTATTACAAGAATACTTTGTATCTAAATATTCGATGAACTCGATTAGGGGAGTCGAGTGGGATTAGAGCTTCGACTGCGTTTCTTCGCGCCGCCTTCACCACATTCCCCTCTTTTTCTACGTGAAACAAGAGCCCAGGTGTGTTTAGAGTTAATTTTAATTCATTTTTCCTGGATAAACCAAATGTTTCAATGAATCCCTGGCTTTTCTTCAGATGAATCTCCAAGTTGATAGGGAACTTCTTTTGCTCTCGGTTGAACTTTTGTTGTAACTCCTCTAAAGCGTACTTTAACCACTCCTGATTCTGAAACAAAAAATATTTCTCGCAATAGATCGTGTTTTTTTTCGATTTTTGAAGCTTCAAAGTCTGTAAAACACGCAAGTTGTGGCAAAAAAGCGCTATTGGAGCTTTTGAAGCATCTTAACTTGAAAATAAGATCTCTTGCGAGAAATTGTTTCCTTGTTCTGCAATCAGGAAGACCTAAAGTAAAAGTTAGCACTGTTCCATCGGAAGTTCAACCCGGGGTTAAAAACGTTTCCTAGTTCTTTCTCGAGTAATTTAATTCCATTTTTCATTCACTGAAAGTTTTTTGTCATAAAAGTTATTGTAAAGTGCGATATATATAAGATTTTGAGGCTCAAAATTTCCTTCTAGCCGAAATTTCGGTCCTGCTGGCTGTTCTTTCTCTCTTTCAATCTCATGCGAGGTGTGACGAGGAGTGAGTGCACTTGAATGACTTGAGAAGTGTCGGAACTTCATAGATAATGTTGCTCATAAACTTGTTCCGGATATCGGGAAGGACGCAAGTTTTTTGTTATTTTATCTACTACTCGAACAAACTTTTGATGCATCTTCAGAGAGGAGTCGAAACGTCACGCACCGAAGAGAAACGCCCCAGGCGTTATGAGTCCTGGAGTGTATGCGTGGCACATACATACACATACAAAGATCTCTCTTAACCACATCTCTCTCCTCTCTCTCCCTTCCCTCTCTCTCTCTCTTTTCCTTTTATGTCCTATCCTTCTTTTTTTGAGCGAATTACTATTTATACACGCATCGCAGAAGTTATGGAAGCCTAGACCTATCGGGGATGTGTAGCCAGTGGCAACCGAACTATAATATCCGCAAAACTAGTCAAAGTTTTTGTTGCGCTTTCTTTTCCTACTGTAGCAGAGCTCCTTTTAGAACTAGACCGTTTATATTGAAAATCCCGTTTGGCTTTAGTTTTTTCTTGAAAAATTTTAATTGGCGTCATATTTATTTTTCGGTTTTCTAGCTCCTGTGTTGAAGCGATTTTTGTTGATTGCGTCCTCTCATGCTGATGATGGTAGCCCAGACGGGCTAAAAGAGGGCCTCAGCGGGTGTCCCCGTTTGAAACCCGTATAAGCACATCTGGTAGAACTTTCGGTAATTTTGACCCCTAGCTAAGGCGCCCCGCCCTTTAGCGCAGTTGGGTCACAGATTTACGAAATAAACACACCTGAGTCGCTTATTTTTTTCTCACACCCGTTGTTCCCCCATTTTAGAACAACTGAAAGACTCAAATAGCATCAAAAACACGAGTACACTCGTTGAGACACCTGGCCAACATGAGTTTCTTCAGAAGCATCTAAACTTTTTACTCGCCTTCGCACTACCTTTTTGCCTGTTTTCAAGTTAACTTTGAGAATGGAGATCAAGGAGCCATGAAAAGGAAAAGTAAGATGAAAGATTAATCGGGTTTTGAAATCAGTTTAATATTTTAAAATTTTTTGAGCTTTTTCTAGCATCAATTTTTTTTTGAATGTTTTGCCCTTTGTAGCGCTTGAGCGGCGTCGGCGCCCCAAGTCGATGAGCCCAGGTCCCATCCTGATATCAGTGATAATCAGTGAACTGGCTCTAGTGACATATGTTTCGCTGTGAGTGACGGCTGGGGATTATGAAGCCGTGGCTTCCCCACTACCAACATTTCTTGAACAAGTTGGTTGAGTCATGGGGATCTAACTTGTGATTCTGTTAACCATAGAGAGGCTCACAACCTGTAGCGTTATATATTAATGGTAAAAATTTGAATGCGACATTTTTAACGGTAACGAATTTATCTTTCCTTCAATAGTATAATTAAAGGATCGCCGTGCAAACTTCGCAAGTCTCAACCTTTCTTTTAACCCAAAACATATCAAAAAGTTAGGACTTTTCTATATTTTCCAAATTTTAATTATTTTTGTCGCATGCGACAGGAGGTATAATCAAGTCAAACGCAGACAAAGAAGTCTTGTTTTCGTGAATTTTTTCGCAAGGCCTTTTCGTTTTGAAGGCTTGAGAAAAATCGTTGCTCGGGTCTTTTCAGTTCGAAGTGTATTATTTATTTTCAGATTGAGATTAAAAACATGACTTCGAAACAGGACACCCCTAACACAGGGTAAGTTCATTCTAGCTCTATTCGCTTGTTTGTTATTCTCATTAGCTCTTAAACATCGTTTCCAGGCATCGGCATTCGCTGACGATTGAAACCAATCCGCTGCACCTGCTTCCTTCCAACATCCGCCGTTTCTCTCAGGTACCAAATGCGCAAAATGGCAAAATATTCAGAACAGGACGCACAAAAAAACACAAATTTGCCAAGACAGTCGAGAAAATCTCAGAAATCCTTCATTTTTTTTTCCAGAAAGGGCCGAGAAAGAAAATTTTAGCAATATTAGAGACTGATGGAAAAAAAAGAAAAACAGGAAATCATTTTCGATTTGAGGACAGAATCAAATTCGTTTTTTTGAAAAGGCATAACAAAACGCCGTACCATACGTGGGCAACTGAAAATGTCCGGGAGGAGATTTGACTTACAGAAGTTTTGAAAAGTAAGGTGTAAGAGCAGTTTTTAACCTTAGAGAGGTAATTTTGACAAATTAAAAGTAGTTTCAATTTAAAAAAAGGTAGTTGGACGCAAAATTCGGTTTGCTCTATTTATCTTCGGTTTCGAAAAAATTATTTTGTTGGGCCATGATAACGTATTTCGAACTCAACATATGTTGTAGAGAATTTTCTTCTGATTCGGGCAAGCCTATGAAAACAGTGAGTACGTCCACGAAAATCGATCAAAAGATACTGTCGTTTTTGGTTTTTTTTTCTAAAATTCATTACTTTCCTAGTTTTAAAGCTGTTGCGAGAAAGTTTTCAGGTCATATATAAAAAAATATGAACTTCGAGTTGAAAAAAACGATTTCCGAAAATCTTTCCACGTAAATTTTCTCACGTGCTATTTTTGCGCTGGCACGATTTCGGCAGCTTTCAATTTATGTATCCCAAATTTTCGTCAAAAACTCAAATAGGGACAAAAAATTTCCCTTTTATGAGACAAAAAGAAAAACGTTTACAGGCAGACACTGCACATCATCCCGCTGCCCCTCTTCTGTCCAAATTCGCCAGGACACACGAAAAAATCCCAGTAATTTTTTTTTTAAGAAGGGCCGTGCAATATTATTTTAGCAACATTAAAGGTTACTTGGAACAAAAAAGAGCTCATTTATAAATTTCGGACGAAAATCTGTCGGCGGGGCGAGCTGACCCGCAAAGTTGAAAATTAAAAATATAGAAAATGGGTAGGGACTAGAGTCTGCAATAATGGTCTTTCGAGCAATCTTTTGAAAAAAATATGAAATTTTAAAATTTCTAAATATAGATCACGGCTAGCTTAGGACGCAAAAAGGCGTGGCCTGTCTGCACTCCGCCAACCAGGGACTGCCTCGTCTCTTTTCGTGGCAGGACCCTTTTCTCGATGGCTCAAGCCAGCCGTGAATCAGCGATAATGTGACCTATCGTTTTATTTTTGACAGATCAATATGTCATTTCTAATGAGAGATTATTGGAAACATAATGTATAATTTTGATCTTTCAAAATGGTTGAAAGATCATCTTTGCAGACTTTATTATGATTCTGGCGGAATTGGCTATGTTACCTAATCCCGATTCGTCTGTGTGTAACATCAACTGGGAATTTCTTTAGGAATCTGGAGTAGCTGGGAGCAAGTCTGAAGACGACAAGAAGAAACATGAGAAAGCTGTCTTGAAGAAATAATCCATTTTTCGGTGCTACGACAAGATCGAGTTTTCCATTTCCCAAAAGTACTGTATATGAAATTCCGCTTTTTGAGCTAGAGAGCAACATTAAGTCTCTTATAGGGGCTTTTTTCTTAACTCCTATTGAAACCACTCTGGTGTTCTTGAGCTCGGTAACGTCACGCAACATATTGGAAGAAAAAAGAAAAACGAAAAACGCGCTACAGAACGCGGACTTTAACATGTAGATTTCCTCGAAAAAGAGAAATTTTGATCTTGTTGTAAAATTTTTTGTTTCCAAGTCATGAGGGACCAGAAATGAAACGCCTTGTATTGGAATCCAATTCAATTATTATTCTTTTGACTCCAGTCAATTTTTTTTTCGTAAAATGTGCATATTTGGTTTAGCTGAATGAAAAGCTTCATACAGATACAATGTTTTGTGCCTTTATCGACTTGAAATGTCTCTCGCTCTTTTCACCGGACATCGCGAACACAAGGATCAGAGCTTCAGTCTTCACTTTTTTTTTCTCAAAATTTGTAGAAATTTTTTTCTGTTGAAAGTTATCAAAGGGTTTCCGAGAAGCATCCGTTGCCAAACTTGTAGGCGAACTTGCGAAAGGCTTCGTAAATATAGTTATCTTTTCGTTTCTCACTCAGCAGTAATCCTTTTTCATGGAGGTTGAACTTGTGATAAAAACGACGAAGAGTTGGCCTGCGAAGCTTGATAAATCCATCTCCGCAAATGACTAATATTCAAATTAATAAGTTCTTGCTAGCAGGGGGCGCGCCGTAGCACAACAGGTTGTGTGCCTGTCTACGGTCCACAGGGTCACAAGTTCGACCCCCGCCTCGACCCAACCAAGGGGTTCAAAAAATGTTGGTAGTGGGAGACCACGGCTTCATAATCCCCAGCCGTCACACACAAGGACGGATGTATCACTAGAGCCAGTCCAATGATAAAAAAAATATCAGGATAGGACCTCGGCTAATCGACTTGGGGCGCCGACGCCGCTCATGCGGTACAAGGGCGTAGGAAGAACAAGGGAAGAAGTTCTTGCTTGCAGGAAAGTACAACACCTAAATAACATTCCATTTTTTTTTTCAAAAGAAGGCATTCACCTGGAAAAAAGAAATAAATGAACGTTTCTCATTTCTTATCAACTATGCCTTTCGATGCGCAGGAAGACGAGAGAGTCGATGTTGCGAGCAGCTCTTTCACCAACGGAAACTTAGGTATCTGATTTATTCAATTTCTCTGGCTTGAGGCAATAAAGTTCATATCCTTTTGAGGATAGTTACCTGTTTTTAGATGTCTTCAAGCAAGCGGCAATTTGGTGTGAGGCTGTCTTTGCCATTTTCTTCGCCGTCACCGGTTTCTATGAATACCAGGTCGGCTCGAGACCCGGAATCGCCTATCTCATGGCTCTTTCATGTTTCCTTCTAATCCTACTATCTGTTCAATTCCATTTCGGATTCAAATACAACTGGTAATTTGTTTTTCAAAGTCTATTATTAGAAGTGTTTGCGTTTATAACCTGGGCGGTCGAAATAGCGGCTCAAACAAGGAACTATTGAAAAAAAGTTTTACTTTGTTTCTAATGATACAAAAGAGGGAAAAAACGTGTTTCAGTGCTGCCCTGTTGTACTGCCATACGGCGCAAGCCTCAACCTTAGCCGTTATATGTCTAGTTGCTGTTTTGGGTCCTCACTTGATGTCCGAAACATTCGCTTCTGCCACTGATTCCTTGCGGTATGGTTAATGTACTGTGTATATAACTAGCGAAAGGTATTACGAGTTGTCAGCTCATCATCAAAGTTTTGAAAGCGACTAAATTCGCTACCTCACGCTGTTTCCAAAACTTTGCTCAATGATTGCCGCAGGAGAATGTGAAAAAAAATTGAGCCTTCAAAGGTTGAACGATCAATCAATAATTTTTTACATGTCTCCCCTTTTGATTTGAATTAAAGCAACAAATATTTTTATTTCAAATTGATTAAAAACTAACTGTTTTTGCAGCCACAGCCTTGTGTGCTACACCGCATACGTAATGTGTGTCGCAGCTTTACTAATCACATTCGCCACGGCTTCTCATACTCGCATGAAAGACGTTTGTTTCATTTCACCTTTAATTTCAATCAAAAAGCAACCTTTAAAAAAGTGAATGAATAGTAAAAAAAAACTGTCCTTGAAAAAGATCAAACAATAATTTTCGAAAAATCGAATAACACTGGTTTTTACGAAAATGTTTACATGTTTCAACGACTTCACAGAAAAACATAATTTTTTTTTCCTTCTTTTTTTTTTGAAAATGCGTCAATAAGAACGTTTCGAGATATTTAAGCTGCGCTCCTTGGAAACGTCACGCGTGGAACATTTGAAACGTTTGATTTCGTCTGGCATGGAACACATGCCTGAAGTTGAGAGAGGTAACACTAACTAGACTCACCGACCTCAAGAAAAAAAATAATTCAGAAAACCGTGAAGGAAAAATCCGCCCACTGAATGTGTTCTCGTTGAGCTAGATTTCTTGATTTTACATTTGCGGTTTTATTTTTGGGATAATAAAACTTCAAAAAACTGTTAACAAGAAGAATTTTTATGAGAAGACACTTGAACGATCCGTGAACAAAAAAAAATGACCGGTTTCGGTTGGAATGACTAGAAGAGAAAGAAAGATCGCTCTGGAAAACTATTTCAAAACGGAAGATACATTGCGGATGCGTAAGGAGACGTGCGAAGGCTTGCGCTCAAAGGTGCTCTGAGTGGAGACGTGGGTCAGGCCGTAGGTCGGTCTCCGCATGTTCGACGTCGACCTAAACCTTGAGAATAGTTTTTTTTCTTCTCTTTTTTGATATAAAAGAAGTAAAAACGCTTCAAAACGAAAAAAAAAAATAGTAACTTGAGGAAAGAGCTTGACCAACAGCAAATTGAGTTTAAAAAAAAAAATGCAAAATGCCTAAACAATGGTATCAAAAAAAGTTTTCCAATCTCGAACCTCGAGTGTGACAATGCGTATGAGGCGTTTGAAGTATAAGATGAGGCGCCGAACACACTCGTTGATGTTGCCGACCTTCTTAATCCATACCCACCAGTGGAATCATCTGAAAATGATCATTTCTAGTTCGATTGATTGAAAGGAAGCTAACTATTTGCGGAAGACTCTGCGGAAGACGCTGAAGTTGACATGATGCTGCCACGCGACGATGTCACCGATGAAGAGCGATGATTACGAGAGTCTGAGAAGACACTTTCGGCGGCGGCTTAAAAAATTATTCTCGTCTTTCACAAACCAAGTTCATCACTTTTTCGGAGCTTTTCGCGTTCTCTAGTAGTTGTACTGAGAGGCAATCGGCTAGGCCTTGAAGAAGACTCCTTTGGTGCCGGACTTGGACTCCGATAAGTCAAAGGACTCGGACTCGCCGAACGCATCATCACGACGAGCTGCGGCCTGACGACGGCCACCGCTCTTCTCTCCGATCTCCAAGACGAAGCACGAGACGCGTCTGGTCTGCGGATTCTTAAAGCTCTGATGAATTCAGATGATCGCATTCAGAACGAACCCCGTTGGCCGAATCTCTCTGTCTTCCTCCTCTTCGCTTTTCTTTCCTAAAAACGAGCGCTTGTCTTGTTCGAAGGCTCCTTTCTTGGTCTCTTTGTTTCTCGTGTTGTTCTTCCTGTTCAGCTCGCTCCAAACTCCACAACCGATCTTCTTCCGCTTTCTTTTCTTCGTCCTCTTTGTCGACCCGTTCGCAAGTTTCACAACGCGACAACTCTACAGCCGCCTTCAAAAAAGCTTCGACTTTCCTATAATGCAGAGGCGGCAACTACCGAGTTCAGAATTTGCCTGGTGCTCTTATTGCAATCGAGTCTCAATAAATCTCGGACTGCGCGCTCTATCCTTAATAAAACCTCGTTATCATCGGCGAACCGCAGCCGTGACTTGATTTTCGGCAAAACTCGCAATGCACGGATTCTGCAATGAAAAATTTTTTTTTTTGTAAATTGTTTTTGAAAATGAAGAATTCTACCTTATATTAGAGATTATATCTGTAGTCAGAACGAGTGTCTGTTCAAGAAAATTCTCGAGAAAAAACCGCTTGCTGAACTTTTTCAAAACTATTTCCACGACGTCAATGAAAATAATCCGTCGATAGGAGCACTTGTTCTTAGCAATCTCTGAAAATAGCTTGATATTCAAAAAGTTTGTCTTAGTCTCCACTCACGTTCGTTGAAAAATTCAATGACCTGACGCCTCGGTGAGTCGGCAGCGACGTGGCGCATCAGAACGAGAAGGCTGTCCGCGGCGGCGACGCGACAAGGAATAGCCCGAACCGACAAAGTTTCCTTTTTCAGGAGTGGGATGAAGGTCTCGACAATCTGTCGCTGCGAAATACATTGTGGTAACGTCGCCAGGCTCTTCAGAAGGGCTTCATGGCTCCGCCACGAGCCCGTGTTGTGCAAAATATTGTTGGAACCAAGAATCAAACGGTCTAGTTGCACAGCCGAGTGTTTCTGAAATCAATCACTACTGAAAAAAAAACTACTGCAAAGTTTTGTGAAGAAACAATGGACGCTTTGAAAATTTATACTGCCGTATCGTGACCGTCGCACAAAGCTTTGCTATGAATCAAAAATTACCCCGGGCTTTTCATTGACAGTTTTGTATAAATCTTTCAGCATCTTGTCCAAGTTGAATGCCACCTGCAAAACAAAGAGAAATTTTTATCCATCTCTAATCAATTTTCACCTTAGCAACGACATCGATAGAGCCGCTTCGGAGTAACTCGAAAAATGATGAGAGTAAAACCGACTTTTCAACGTGGAGGGCGAAAATCTCGTGTAAAGAAGACGCGATGCACATTCTCACTTCCTCGTCTTCATTTTTTTTTTCCATTAGAAGCCATAGATTTTCAAAAATTACCTGGATCAGTGCAAAACTGATCGATGAACTGGACGAGACGATCAGAATTTTTTGAGAACATGAACAACATACACTAAAAAAGACAAATACGCTTGAAAATCTTTAAAACAACTGAAACTAACTGGCAAATTGAAAACGCAAGCGCGTCGTAGGAGGTTCCGTGCATTTTGGAGGTTTGTCGGTTCCACTTTTTCACTAGCGATTTGAATCATCTTGCAGTAAGTGTTAAGTACCCAGGACTTGTCGAGCTGATCCAGGACATCCGTTAAGGAGTGAGACCTGAAGGACTTGTAAACATACAGAACTTTCTAGTTTCTAAGAAAAATCAGTTCAAAGTAGGATAGAAAAAAGAAAAGTATGAAAAAATCTCAAGACCGGTCGGCCGCTAATCTTGGAAAAACAAAAAAACTTGTAACGGTTTTTCCGCTTTTTTTGCTTCATTCAGTTTGCATTTATGGCGCTTTCATCGACCAGCTTTTTTTCCACCGTGAAAACTTTCAATTCATATATAATTTGAAAGTTTTGCTTTGCGATTATGAATATAAAATATAAAAAGTTCAGACTTGTGCGATGGCTACCGGCCCCGCCCACTTCCTAAGGCCGACCCGGCAAACACGGCGAATCCACGAGAAGCTTCTCTAAAATGGAGCGCCAAAACTTGAACTTTCAGATGTCCGTAAATAATATTTTTCATTCATACTGAAGCAATGACTCCTAAACTTAGTTCTAAACACGGTTTTCCCAGAAAAAAAGTTTTCTGGTGCGAGAAAAATCCTATCTTTTTTTGACCATTTTTTTGATTAGATTTTTTTCGATTTTCAGTCGGCTTCCCGCTACATAAAGTTTTTTTTTTCGGATAGAAATTTGTTTTTGTAAGTGCGAGATTTTCAACAGTGTTCAGATGTCACAAAAAAAATTTTTGAAGGTTGAAATAGAGTATTAGTTCTAGAAGGAATTATTTCTCTTCATTTTTAGATGTGATTTTTTTGAGTACATTATTATTGTAGAAATTTTATTCGGCGATTCCATAATAAATAACAGCCAGAAAAATTAATTTTATTTATAACAAAAAAATTCTATCTCGCTTTTTTTGCGCGTCGCTTATCATGCATCCCGTGCACTACGTAAAACACATTCTATTTTCCGCCGTTGCGTTGCGTGTTTCGTTGATTTGGTGCCGTCGTGAAAGGGCACCACAACTCTTTTTCGCAGCTAGATAAAGACAAAATAGTGTGTGTCAGAGAAAGAGTTGTGGCGCCCTTTTGACGCTTCATGTCCCTAGGGAGTGTAAAACTTTTGAAAATAGCCTTAGAGCGCGCTTGCTACTTCTTCTCGCGATATTCATATTTTTCCACCCCTCAGGCACTGACGGCGCGTGTTTGTTGCCAAAAGTGCGCATGCGCGCCGCCTGCTGCGCGCACGCGCGGGGTGTCTTTTTTGTTTTTTAGCTTTTTTTAACTAATTGAAAAGTTATAAATTTAATATTTTTTTATGTCTGTTTATCTCTTAACATTGCTCTGCACCAGTTTATAACAATTAGATTGCACAAAAATTTGAAATATCATAGTTTCACTCGGCAATTTTTTTTCATAAATTTGTTTGAAAGTGCTCGGAACAATTTTAAAACGTGAGCAGGAGCACTGGGTAGTATCACAAAAATATAAAAAATATATTTCAAAACCGTATTTCAGTGGAAAAGGCGAAAAAAGAATCAGTACCGCCGCGCGTGCGCGCACCAGTGCCTGAGCCGTTTTGTATTTGGTAATTTTTTTCGAGGTTTCTCGTTTTTCTGTTTCTGTAAATTTTTATGTTCTTTAAGACCCATCAATTCGGGAACTAGGTTATAGTCTGTTCAGATTTTGAATGTCAAGCAGCTAACTCCACCCCCAAGGCTAAAATATCTTTCGCGTCAATGTTTTATCTACATATGCCAATGGCCCTTTAATAAGGCTGCTTTTTTGACCTCTTTTTCTATCTTTTAGATCGAAAAAGATCAAAAATAGTCCCGCGCGATGAAACATCGACGCGAAAAGGTACCGTCTCAGCAGGGGCGGAGTTAGCTGGTTGACATTCAAAATCTGAACAGACTATATAGGACGCGTGTTTTGGGAGTTTTGGGAGTTTTGGGAGTGGGAGTGTTTTTTTCATTACGCAAGGTCAAGACTTTTCGTAAATTATGATGCTTAGGGTTTAAGCACACCGAGACGCACTATCGCATACTCAAAATACTTTTTTTCAATTTTAGAATTTGCGATTTCAGGATAATAGCTCCTGAAATGTTCGAAATTTGTCATTTTGAAGAATATGATGTGAAAAAACATTCACTTACGTTAAAAAAACATTTAGGAACGATTTCGAAAAGGGAAAACTCTAAATTACTGATTACAAAATAAAAACAAAAAATATTATGAAAATGAATCAGCTCCCATTGAATAAGCATTTATAAATACGAAAAATATTGAAATGAGGAAAATTCGAGGAGCAAATGAAAAAAAAAACATTTTATATACCTCGAAAACCTAGCTTCAGAAAAACAAATAATGGATAGAAAGCAGAAATTTTAGAAAAAAAACCTCGTATGGCGAAATTTTTGTTTAAATCCGAAAAACCATCAAAAAACTAGAAAAAATATATAATTTAGATGATTCATATATCAAAATCATTAAACTGCATCAGCAAATTCAATTTGGCTCTAATTTACGCGAAACCGGTTTTTAAACTACGTCAAAGGAACTAGATAATAACTTTTTTTATTATTAACTGATTAAATTAAAAACTATAGTTTCCGAAATAGAGTGATTATTTTTCATGTCGCGAAACAGATTTCAAAATTTTTGAAAAATTTAGGACTTTTTAGAAAAAAATCTTCAGCTCTTTTTGAGAAAAAAAGTTAAAGATCTGAAACCGGTTTAGAAAAAAATGCGAAATTTAAAGCTCCACAAGATGTACCCATAGAGAGGCGGATCACATAAATGCAAGAAATAGAAAAAAAGTAAAAAAACCAAGAAAAAAAGTGAAGAAATTCAATTTTTTTGCATCAGAAACCATGAGAAGGGCGCAATAATGCGCCACGGATAATATGCCGCTGGGACCCAAAAATTCGCATTTTTTTCATTGCGCGGAACACCGTG